TTGCCAATTCTTTATAAGAGGTGGAGCTCGCAGACAACGCTTCCTCCACTATGCATGTATTGGGCGACTGGTTTTGACTTCACGTCTGCTCCGCTACAACAGACACTAGCCAAGGCTGGTACTCGACGGCAATACGTCCTAACGGGGTAGCAAATAATCTCTCTCAGCGACCGTATTTATACACATACCTACCAAGCAGCAGCAGATCACCAAGTTTGACAAACAATTTCTTCGGTCGCTAAGATCATCGGGTTATTGCTCTGCTGAGTCAAGAGACCATGAGCAATGCATGCCCCAGCATGTGTTTGTTTTGGGCAGCTACTACCGCCCTAAGAAAACAGAGGAAGGGTCCTATGCATTATTGCCGAGGTTGAGCTCCACGACTCGGTGATTCTAACATTTTCAAGATGCCACTCTCCCACTCTGGGAAACGCCGTTGTATATGCAGCTTCTGCTGTTCAGATTCTGGACTATTTCACGGCTGCAACATATACCATCTACTAATGTGTCCACTGCATTGATATTCCTATATCAGTCTTCCTGTTCAATAAGAAGAAAGACGTCTTGAACACGAACCCTTATCGCTCTCATTTCTTTGGAACTTCATGATACGTGAAATCCAAGCTCTCACACTCTATGACCTAAGATGAACGGCGTCGCCTTTCAGTACGCCAGGCAGGTTACACCTGGCAGCTACAGCTTAAAGCAACCCCCTTTACACTCTTTGATCATCTGCAGAACAGCAAAGTAATCCTAAATGCGGATATGAAGTCTGCCACCTTCCGAATTTGGTAGCTGGGGTAGGTCTTCCCCCCATTCTGGTATGGTCCCTAGCTAAGCTGCAATAGGGACATGGCAAGGCTTCTGAGAAAAAATATGCTGAGGGTACGTAACTATTCATTGTGTTAGCTATGGATTCTAACAAGTGTTCTTCCATTCAGGTCCTGAACCGGTTGTATTCGGTTTCAAACTCTCCGCTGATCATCGGCCGTGAAGCTCGACTGCGCATGCCCAGAGACGAATGAACTTATGCACGTCATGGCTCCGGGTGTTGCCTCACTCTTCACGGATATTAGCTTCGACTTAGGTCCGCTAGACCGCTAACTAAAAAAAAGTCGACATCAATCCACCAGCAAGATCTATGCCAATGGGTGACAACAGCGACGGAAGTTGCTGGAGGAGAGTGAGAAGGTAGGCGCGAAAGAGGGAAAAAAATTACTTCCTATATCGACTCGGCGCCTTAAGCGACTTGAAGAAAAAGCAGAACGTACTGTCACGCCTGCAGAAACCACTGTGTCGAGAAAGCAGTACCACCAACTTCTCAGTGTTGCCGGAATAGACTGGAAGACTGTCTAATGGCTCAATAATGATACCCTCTTTGCAAATAGCAGCGAGATTTGAAGAAACATGGTTAATCGGCCTTTGTCCCTAATCAATAACTAAGTGCCCGGATAGCCTTTAGGCTACAGAACATACAAACTTGGGTTTACTGGCAACGAGACCGGGCGATTCACTTGGTGAAAATGTTCACGATAGACCACAGGTCCGGACCCAGCTTTTTACTAATGGGAGTCATGTACATGGTCCTAACTACATTCGGCGAGTGTTCCCATGACGGTCTGTTCTTCGATCTTCCACTCTTCTTGACAAACTATCCTGCACAAGTATCAGACAACTCCCTCCTATATCCTCCTTGCTCATGGCTACCGATCCAGCTTGAGTGATAGAAAGGCAACATCAATGTCTCCAATAATCGGAGCTTTAGATCCCGTTTATACCGAAATTTGATGTGCAGGTTCATCGACGCGTACAAAAGAGTACAGTCACATTGGTGGGTTGACCCGAGCAGCGCGCCGTCTCCTAGCCATGCAGCAGATGCAGGCCACTTCTGATGGACAGCTAGCCTGCATCAGCAAAACAGGCTTTAAGCTTCTTTGGAATACGCGCTAAAGCCTACATAATTAGCTCTGAAACAGAGATTGAACTGGTGGCGCGCTTTTGCAGAGATAAAAGACAGGCAGGCAAAGGAGATAAAACTTTGATGCTTCTCACTGTCCATGAGCCACTACACGACTTGCCATGGGAAACTAGACAACCTCGTCAGTTCTGATGGTTTGACTGTCTGCCGGTTATTTGGAGGTCACAGGTAAAATGGTCCTTGAGTCATTATGATTTACATACATTTACTGACTGTTGGAACCAAGCCATGGGATAACTCTCCGATAGTCAACAAACGGATACAATGCATAGTCAAGCATCATTATCAGCCCCGTGCTTATACGATATATCAAAGACCAATGAAGAATTTAACCATGGGCTTAATTTATTTCTTGATCATCGGCTTCCACTTGAGTTGGCGCACAAAATACTTCACCCTCTCGATTTGTGCAGGCTAGGAAAGCTGCTTTTGGTATACAGCAAATCCAAATGTCAAGTTGAATCCCTTGACTACTCCTTGCTAAGCGACACACACTTTATATGGTGCACCATATGCATGTCTCTTCCTACTAACAGACTGAGCTCGAGACTGACATGTGTCCTAAACAAGCAACGCAGTCATCCACCACCATGCCACCGGATCTTTACGAATATACAGCACAGGATGCGAGTCTGAAATTGAGATAAGAAAACAACTCAATCAATCGGACGGTGGATCGACGACGAGCGCCTTACAATCTTATACTGGATATCGACACCTCGACATCAAGTGTGCGGCCAGGTCCCCAAAGCGTCCAACCTGGGAAATTAACCAAATCACAGGGTTAAGAGCTCGGTGGTAAGCTTGAGTACGAAATTATCACCCCGAAAAGCGAGGAGCAAGTGGGGTCGGGGACTTCAGAAAGCGAAAAGGACATACCAGTACTCGAGGGTTACGACTTGCGGTACACACATAACGCGAACAAAGAAACAATGGAGAAGGAGGGGCTAGTAAGGTTCCTGCACCAACGGCATGATGTGCGTGCAATAAGAGACTCGGAGACCATCACTACAAGAAAGAGGTGTAAGTGTCTTAATCATGACTTCGTGACATTCCGCTAACGATTTTCTGTTACAGACATCCCATCACCTTCGTGAAGCCCGATAAACTCGAAGCCTCAACAAGTCCCATCGCGACTGTTACCTCATCCTCGTCCGCATAATAGGATGGTCCTATACAATATCCATTTCGCAGGATGTGCCCTTGACAGGGAAATTTTCGTCAAGAGGCAAAAAGGACTCCGGCGGTTCGCTTGCACATTGTCTGTGCCAGCCGTCTAGGGGCAATCTTCGATGGTCTTCCTTAAACCTGTCTTACGAGCAGGTATCTGTCGGTGAAGATACCAAAAGCTGATGAAAACAATCGGAAAATTAAACAAGATATCGAATGCCTCATTATTACGGGACTAATATATAGTATACTATTTCTTTCTCTCCTATACATTACAATCGATCCTCATCTCGTTATCAGATGTGTGATCGTGCATGACAAGCAGCCGTAGAAGACCCTGCGGACGATGACTTTCGACATGTTGTCGATGAGATGAAGCTCACGACTATCCTCAACTTACCTGTCTGGTTCTATCTATCACGGCTGGGTTGAACTTGCGGCAACGACATCCTTGACACGATCGCCACGTCAGTTGGTCAAGAGAATGGCATGACTTCTTATGTCTTTCTCTACCAGAGAGTTGTATAGAAACCGCAGCCAAATCTTTATGACGAGCAGTCAGGCAATTTCTATCGTCTCAACACTTTTGACATAATTATTCAATGTCAGGTCCACGTGAACCGTGGAATTTCTGATAAAAGACTTCGAAGCAGTTCAACTGCTTCGAAGTCATCATCCTCGTCCCTCGTCTATATTACCACTCTTCTCCTCTCTCGACTTGCTCAAACTATATATCATCTTCATCCATATTTTTGTCTTCAGACATATACCGTCTTCCTCCATGACATGTGCACGACACATTCAACAAAGCCAGGTTTCACCAACGAGTTATCAGAGAAGTGCTGCTCGTACTTGGCAGGAACACATTAACGAGGGAATATACTGCAGGATATTCTAACTTAAGTTAAAAGCTATGGACTATCAAGATAACTGAATTCCTTGACTGGACAAAATCCATGTTCGGGGACAATTAGTAAAGGCATTGAAACATATTATTATATGGTACTCAGCGATGTGGACAGTTCCGGAGCAACGAGATACCGTCTTACAGAAGTTCAGATGGACTGACGAGATTAAGAGTAATCTCATGGAATGCACGTTGCCGGAAGAAGTAACAAGCCCTTTTGCTGGAAAGTCTGATGCTGAGAAGAATAGTGCTGCTGTGGAATTTCTCCAGGACCTTATTATAGATTCTCACACTATTATATCGATTTTACGAGGCAGCGTTGCTCCGGAATCAGTGTGGGACAAAGCTTGGACTATGCAGATAAATCAGACCCTAGATCTGAGGATAGCACACGCTATCTGGCTAACACGTCCAACATGGCTTCACAGCTGTGCTACATCGAAAGGCCAGGTGCCTTCCTCAATTGAAGAGACGATATCATCTTACCTACGGTTGTCTTTATCTGTCCCATAAACCTGTGAGCTACCGCGAGCTAAGATGGCTTTAACCAGCTCCCATAGATCCCCTTGTCAAGGGTCCAGTGGGCGAGTACCTCTTCTTGGATCCGATGGCTCTTGGAGGCTTTCCATATACATGCAACATGTCATGTATAGCCACCAGTCAACAGAACTATCAGCCTGAAGCCCTAAACTTCTGCGCCAGTCATCCTTCGATGGCACCAAGAAAGACATTGAACGATAGAAGTTCAGCCATGATTGTTCCCGGCAATGACAGCGCATTCCCGGATGTTACCATGCCGGTCATGACTTGCTGGATGACCAACACAAGTACGGGAGAGGGGTGGACGCATGCTTATTCCAATTACAGCTGGGATGGCTGGAACTCCTTCAGGTGCCTACCAACGAAGAGAAATCATTGATCAATGAGTGACAGACCTGCCGCAACATGGAGCATGCATTGGAAACGTATAGGTTAGTAGTCAAGAGTAACCTATAAGGGTAGAGTATAGCTAACAGAGCAGCAGGATATTTTGCCGGATACATGACGCTATGCGAAGCTTAACATGATCAAGGAGAAAGCCGGGCTGAGGCCCCTCACTGCCTAAGAGGAATGAGATCACAAAGCATCGACTCGATAGGGAGCTCGAGGAGCTGGCAGAGGGTCTCACTGATGAGGAGATAGATAACCTCGAAAAAGAATTGCAGGCGATGACAGGCCCCACCAGTCCCAGCTCTCCTAGTGACTCCAGTAAGGATCAGACCAACCCCAGCGTCTTTTGGATGGATGATGTACTGACCCCGAAGGAGAAGGTCGAGCTTGGGCGGAAGTCCGCAATATATTACCCGTCCGATACCTACTGGAAGATTGTGTGCATCAATATGGCGCTCCATCTTGCCAAGCGGAAGGAGGAAAGTTCCCGAGATTACTCTGATGTCGACAATGCTGTCTTCGAAAATGAACTTGATCAGTGCCTTGAGGACTTTGAGATTCCTACTACGGTGGCTCCGACTACTGAGACGCTCCTAGAAGTCACCCCTGAAAATGTGACCCAGAATGCAGGCACAGAATGAATGGATGGATAGTCCAATATAACGGTGTCCTCGTTCGATGTTTTCTGGGGATTCTGCAGTCGAAGAATCAGGGTGCCTTACATCATTTGCTCTACAATTGCCGGTCGAGCATAGCGTTCAATGGCTCAATCAACTGCTATATATCGACAAAGCAAGCGATCACTATCGTGGATGAGTTCGTCCTTAGAAAGCCCCTGCATATACATCAGGATTGCTCCCCCGATTTTCGGGGCTTGCTGGTTCGTGGCCTTTTTAGAGATAAAGGCTGGCAATTACACAGGAATCGGCCTGATAGATACTGCAAGATAACAGCGACTGGGCCATTTGGATAATGGTTCGGAAAGCGTCCAACCGGGAATCACGGGGGGCATACGCGATCAATTGAAGCCGTGCTTTATATTCAAAGGCGATCCAGTCCGCTCACTGATTTTGAAGGGTATCTCGTTTTCTTCCGAGTCTCCAGATGACTCACTTCATTGCTGATAGAGGACTGACTCTCTTTGGATTGATTTGCCCCGGGGTACGAAGTATATATTAACTAAAAGATGAAGATGCATACTTTATGCAAAGTTAAGAGGTACAAAACCCAGATACTCTTATCATGGAAACAAGGGCGCGATTGCCGATGTCGAAACGACATCTCTGGACAATCTGCCTTGGTCGCTGAAAGTTGACTCAGGCTCAAAGGAATCCGAGATACCGTATGGATGTGCTGACTGGGGAATGGCGTCGTCCGCCTTACGGTCCCTTGGGGATTATAAGGCTGAAGTTATGGGGCTGTCGAGCTGGCACCGACCTAGGGCACTACTATATTGAAGGGCCTAGTTTTGGAGGCCCATGACGCACTGGCGAAGTGTGAAAGAAAAGTGTCCATCACATCAACGGTGATAAACTTGTCCGTCGACGAAGCAGACATAAGATGGTCATTTGGAAATGTTTCGACCTTGTGAGGGACGGGACACGACAAGGCAGACAGACTGCCAACAGGAAGTTGGAGAAGGGACCCGGTGAGGTTGGCCGTTCTTCATAGTACCGGCGGTAGGTTGTTCTATGGGTGGCGTCCGACGCCGTTGATCAGAGTCTCTGAGCAGAATCTCTCCAGAGAAAGGATCAAAATATACGACTCAGGGAGGATTAGATCAACTGGAATCTTCCTGTATTGGTCTGGGTGTTAAATACATAACTATATCAGCACCGATCCACAATCACAAGTGTCTCAGACATAACTAGATTAGCAACTATCTACAATCATAAAATACAAATCATATGCCTCATGCTAGTTACATATTGCTTCATAAAACATCAATCTCCCCCCTTACTTCCTGAGAAGAGTAGCAGTCGTATTCGCGTGAAAGTCACGACTACTGAACCCAGCCTTGAAAGTAAACTCTCCGGCCGGGATGCGCCAGTCCTGCGCCGTCACATCCCAGTAACTCACATCTCTCCGCATCAGCTCGAACGTCACCTTCTTAGTCTCGCCCGCCTCGAGCCAGATCTTGTCGAATCCTCGCAGCTGGCTAGGCGGGGTACCCGCGGGCGCAGTATCAGGGAATCCGACATACAGCTGCGGGATGGCGTAGCCGTCCACACTGCCGGTGTTGCTCACCTGCGCGGTGAGTGTGTACACGGTATCCCAGAGAGCGGGGTTACCACCAGGCTGGACAGCACGCTGCTCCGGCAGGGCAGTCAGGTTCGAGGCCACGGGCTTCGCAGCGACCAGCTTGGTCAGGTTGTAAGTAGTGTAACTGAGACCGAAGCCGAACTCGTAGCGGACGGGGATGTTGTGGGCGTCAAAGTAGCGGTAGCCGACTTCGAGCTCCTCATCGAACCAGCTCTGCCAGTCGTAGGTGCCGTTGGTAGCCACGGCAGTGGTAAGTGGGGCGTTGTAGTCCGATTCGTTGTAGGCGATCACGTAGGGCAGCTTGGCGGAGGGGTTGGCGTCGCCGTAGAGGAGGTCGGCGATGGCGTTACCAGCTTCCTCGCCGGGGTAGTGGGCAGCCAGGATGGCGGTGACGTTGGGGTGGTCCGCGAAGGGGAGGACGTTGACGCCGGCGGAGTGGGTGACCACGACGGTGTTGTTGCAGTACTTGGCGACGGCTTCGACGACGGCATTGCCGTTCCAGTCGAGAGTGAGGTAGGTGCGGTCGACATTCTCCTCGGACCAGGACTTGAGGAAGACGAGACAGACGTCAGGCTGTTCGGGGTTCCAGAGTTCGGGCATGGATTTCTCCGTGATGAGGGTGTTGTTGAGCCAGGTCTGCACCCTGCCGCCGTACTGGCGGGCTCGGGTCGTGATGGCGTCCTGTGGGGTCGAGAGGTAACTGAAGCGGCAGGTGCCGGAGCCGCCGGCGTTGGCGAGGACACCGTATTCGAAGTCGGTCTGGGTGGAGGGGCCCTGGGTGTCGGAGCCGGCGTCGTTGCCGACGATGACGATGTTACGGGGCTTGCGCAGGGGAAGGGCGTTGCGCTCATTCTTCAGCAGGACGGTGGAGGCGGCGCCGTGCTCGCGGATCATGGCGCTGTTGTTGCCGCGGACGTCACGGTTACTGGGGCCCGTGAACTTCCAGTCGTAGAGCCAGGTGTCGGGGGGAGAGTCGACGTTCAGGGGACCGACGGAGGCGTCGACGCTGGGGTAGTTCTTGTCCTGGCCGAGCCAGAAGTAAGGGGTCATGATGCGCACGATCATGTCGTCGATGCGGTCGGTGGTGATGGTGCCGTTGTTGATGGCTTCGGTGAGGTTCTTGCCGAAGTAGGATCCCTCGGTCCAGAGCTCGCCGTAGACAGTGAAGCCACCGGGCATGGTCATGTCCATGCCGCTCTCCGCGGAGGCGACACCGCTGTGAGTGGCACCCCAATCGGACATGACGTAGCCTTGGAAGCCCAACTCGGTCTTGAGGAGGTGGTTAAGGAGGTAGGAGTTCTGGCACGAGTGGGAGCCGTTGACACGGTTGTAGGAGCACATGAAGCTGGCGACGCGAGCGCGGGCGGCGTTGGCGAAGGGCCACATGTAGATCTCGTGAAGGGTGCGGTCATCGAGGTTGGAGGAGACAGAGTCCTGGATGTAGGTTGTGGCGTTGGCATCCGGAGCGTAGGTAGGGTTACGCTGCGTCTCTTGCTCGTTGGCAATAAAGTGCTTTGCATTGGCTTGCACACCGGCGTCCTGGATACCGAGAATGGTCTCCTCCATGCAAACACCGGTCAGGTAAGGATCGGCTGCGAAGCCTTCCCAGGTACGTCCGTCATAGGGACTACGGCCGAGAGGACCACCGATGGGACCGAGGACGACGTGGGTGCCCTTGCCCTTGTGCTCTGTAGCCATGGCATAGCCTCGGTCGTAGAGGAGCTTGCGATCCCAACTGGCAGCGGCCGACACACCACTGACGAAGACGCTCGAGTAGTCACCCTGCTGGATGCACTGGGGACCGTTCTGCAGACAGAGACCAGTGAAGTTGAGGCGGGGGATGGGCAGAATGTTGCCCACACAAGGGCCCGGCTGACCTGTGGCCATCCAGGCCTTCTCCTCGACTGTGAGCTGCGATACCCAGTTCTTGGCCTGGGCCATGGCCTTTTCCCAGCCGCCCTTGCCCTTGGTTTCAGCTGCGACAAAGTAAGCATGATGGGTATGGTTGTCCACGCAGGCATGGTGTACTTACGAGAAGGGAATACCGGCGGGGAGCCGCCATAGGGGGTGAGTATAGAGGTGTTAAGGGGTTGGACGTAGCTGAATGGCTCGCCTGGATGGTTGATAGGTTCCTGGCAAGTACTGGCGCCCACGGAGGGGGCCAGCAGCAGGCTGGACAGCAGCAAGGCGTGGTCGGCCGGGACCTTCATGGTGTTGTATGAGCCGGACTCGTGAAGTTGCTGGTTGAGTGCTCCTATCCCTCATCGTCTACCCCCGACACTTGCACCCTTATATACATCACATACCCTGGCCGGTTACGGCGCATTCCCGGGTTGAGTGGAGAATGCGGAGGCCCGCAATGCCGGGTTGAATGAGGGCTAAAAAGCCGGGGTCGGCCTCGTGCCGAGCTGGGACTCCACAGCCGAGAAGCGATGCCAATCGCAAGGTTTTCACGGGCCGTTTCTGCCCAGTCGGAGGAAGATGACTTCGTTTGCCTTACTCCATCGGTCACCTTAGGCCTTTGCCGAAGTTTTGCCGGTGGAGGGAAAGGGAAAATAACGCTCAGACAGTAATGGTGCCATTCCTGGTGATGAGGATCCTCTCATTTTCTACCCTGTGGGAGCTAGCAGCCCCAGTTGTCGGAGGAACCCCGTGGGTAATGACGTAGAGGTAATGGATTCTGTCGGCCGGAATGAAGGTGGCCGACGAGTCGGGTCGCCTGGCATGACTCTCAAAGTCTCAATACATCTCTCGAGGTGACCGGGTTGAGTTGAATGCCAATGCGGTCCGACCCCGCTAGGGCTTGGCAGGAACCCCCACGATGTGCCCGGCAAATACCCGTCTCTCGTTCCGAAGAATCCGGGAGGGAGGGCAGAATGTTCCTAAGAGAATGGAAGCTACGTGAGAATGGCAAAGGAGGATGACCCGTGTGTGGTATATTTGTCCAAAGAGCCGCATTGTTAACTAAGTGATGCTGTCAACCCCGGATTAATATGCCCAGATCACGTGGGAGATGCATGATGCACGAGAATATTAATAATAATATGGGGGAAAAGTTGGGGTGAAGAAGATGAGGGGAACGAAAACCCTTCCCCAAGTCCCAACAGACTATGCGTCATCCCACAGGCCCTACCTCACTACTGAGTATTAGTGAATCACCACTAACTAGAGACTAAACTACTAGAAATACAAGGAAAAGAGTCGGAATGCAGTCCGGAGTTGGCCATGATGCCCGATCGGGAAGGCAGGAAAAGGAAAAGGCCCGAGGTTTCCCCGGCGGCCCCTCGGCCCTCCCTTCACTGAATATAAGCACGGAATATAAGCAATTGTAAGCAGTCTTGTGGTGGGACATGCCGGTGGTCGGGAATGCTGGGACAACATACCAAGTAGGTATGCCGAATACTGCGCTTGGGCTTTTACTATGGGGCCGCCGGAGAGAAGGGGCTTGGCGATTGGTTCTGCAACACTTTAATATGGGCTTGATAATCATTAACCTACAGGGTTTTCCAGTCAAGATGCCGTTATTATTGGCTTCCTCATGCATCCCCCTCCCAGAAAAGGCGTGATCAATGGAGTCGAATAGAGCATTCCGTGGGGGGCGGCATCAACAAATGGAGGGGAACAATAGCCGGACTGGCATTTATCCGCTGTTCCCTGGCCTCGTCAGGACCGAATGACCACTAAACCAGAATTCCAGACCGGCAAGTGAATAAAAGTCTTTCCTCCCTCGGATCATGACATACCAGATGGCAGAGTATGAGCCGCGTACAACTACAATGCGCCCTCTATTGACCTTAAAGGCAATGGCAGTGGAACCATCTGTAAGCTGCCTTGGGTCGGAAAGCCAGGGCCACATCTTGGACTATCTAGCTTCCATCTCAATTCTTGTAACTGGCTTATTTAATTTGTCTATTGGGTAAGTTTGCAAAGGAAACCTTACCCATGATCAGAAGCGCAATGGTGCGTTAGTATATAGAGTTAAGGTTGCCATCATTGACACGAATGCCGCAAACGGCATGGTTTATCTACAACACGAATGTCGCCCAAGCACCATATAGTGGTACCTACCCCGCCCCCTCTTCACTCCTTTTTCTTTTCTTTTTTTTTCTTTTTTTTTTTTTTACTTCTGTTTTTTTGTCTTGATTTATCGGGCATGGATACGGGGCTTCCGACCGTAGGAATGACCAAAACCGACGCGAACGATGAGCTATTTGAGGCCTCGATAGGAACGGATCACTGCGCCATGAAGCCGAATACAAAAATGTGCCATTCCTCTTATTTTCATATCACCATAGCTTGTCCAGAGTTAGCTTTTCTTCCCGTACGGTCTTGTGATAGTTTGCTAGATCAAGGGATCTGGACCAACGCTCATGCACGAGGCATCATCTATGAAAGTAACTTCCTCACTGCATCCACTAAAGGCGCAGATTCATTCCAAGGACAGGGTCCCCATAGCTGAATACGTCGAAAGATAACAAAAGAGAATGAAAGAACAGCCTGTCATTTCCGCGAAGTTCCAGTCATTGGCATTGTCACAACTTCCCGGCGACTCCCACCCATGGGTCTTCAAACTTTACTGCGGCCATCTCGATCATGGACGCGCTCAGCAGTGTTCATGAGGTATCAGTGACCTCATGCCCACACGCAAAGAGCCCGTCAGTGCCAATCGAAGCGACTATAGAGGAAGCTAGGGAATCTGGATCTAGTCTAGGACACGTTCTCGACGTCGAAAGCCCAAAGCAGGGAAATATAAGAGCAGAGTCATCCAGGCAGTCGACGTCCCTAAGTCTCCATCCATCTGTATGATCAACTATTATAATTCAGTGAAGCAAAATGACTAAAGGCCTGGTAAGTAGAACGGACTTTGCTGTGCCAACGAATTCATGCTAACAAGACCGGGGGGCACTCCGAGACTTTTGATATCCGCTACGACAACGAGCTCGCTCATCAGTACTACGGGGATGGGGACAAGCTCACTAAGCGGTAAGATGAGATGTTAGGCGATATGATTTGCCTGCGCAGTGATAGCTAAACGTGACACTATAGGCTCCAGGACGTCTATAAAGACAAACACCTGGAGTTCCCCCAGTATTTCGACTCCACATTGACCACCCCACCGATTCACTTCATGTCGTGCGTCACATCAACCTTATTCTTGCTGGGGCATAGCTGATGGATAGCAGGGTCGAGGCGCCTGACGATGTAGATGTGGATGAACTGAAAAATGTGCATGTTCCTCCAGGCTTGAGCGTCGAGATTCTCGACTTCGATTAGGGTGCCAAGGAATCAACTGGGAGGATATTGATGATGAAAGCATGGCAATTTATGTAGCAATACATGGAAATTAATTCATACACAACCTGGAAATAGAGAAATACAGCACATTCTTTTGTGGTTCATTTCATGTCTATCCTGTCAAGACTCACTCGAGGTCTGACTTTTACGCTTAGCGCCGGTGATCGGGCCGATCGCATGGCAACCAAATCTCCCCACCATTCTCTGACAGACACTTCGTCCCCTAATCCAATCTACTATTACCTTCCTGTATCAACCCCGTTCCCGGAAATGCCCACCGCCTCATCGCCGGCATCAGGGCACTCGCCCTCGGTGTCCAAGCGACGTAAAATCCGCAAGGGCACCTTCTCCTGTTGGGAGTGCAAGCATCGGAAGCGACGTTGCGTGTTCGAGCCCCTCAAGGACTCCACTTGTGTCTATTGCCAGTCTCGAGGTATCCCCTGCGTCAGCCAGGAACATGCCGATCCACGAAGCCGCAGTAGCGATGGCCAGATATCGGAGCGGATTTGCCACGTCGAATCTCTGGTCAACCAATTGATTCGGCAGCGTGACAGCTGTCAGCCTCAGGTCCAGCCTGTGATCGGGGTTCGCGACCGAGCGAGTTCTCCTCGGCCGAGAGAAGCATCTATATCATCCCCCTTTCAGCAGCTGTGCAAGTCTCTGGCGGCGTTATTCCCTCATCCGAACACGGCCGCACTCATCTTGACCAAGGGTCGCTTCTTCAGTCTGCCTTTCGAGACTTGTCGATCCCCACTCCGAGACCAATCGGCTGTCTGCTCTGGCATAGAACAGTCTGGAGATGTCTTCAGGCTACCATATTCTACTTCCCATCCAATCCAATTTGCTCAGAAACTCATACAACTTGCACTCGGTTTACAGCAGCTGGACCTCGCCTCATGTCTACACCCACAACTGCAGCTAGAGCAAAAGTGGTCCACAGGCGACTCTGCCCGGCGCTACGTCGATCTGGCAGTTAGTCATGTAACATCACAGGACGCGCTCGTAGATTCTCTTGATGGTCTTGACACTCTCTTACTGCAGGCCCGCTATCACCTTAATTCTGGGGAGCTGCGCTCGGCCTGGCTTATTTTCCGTCGTGCTTTGAGCATCGCTCAACTGATCGGACTTCCAAGCCGGAATGAACAAGCCGGCAGCCGCGCGGAATCCCTTTGGGTTCAGCTTGTATATAATGATCGGTTCTTGTCACTAATGCTTGGGCTTCCATGCGCGGTGAAGGATCTCGAGCTCCTGAATTGGCAGGCTTTAGATACCTACCCACCTCTTAGAAAATTATACCGCATCCATTCTGTCATCGCAGGTCGGATAATCGTCCGAAATGTGCGTCTGCAGCATTGCAATTTGTTGTCTCAAAGACAGTTGGATACCACGTATGATCATTACGGGGTGACTCGCGGCATAAATGATGAACTAAGGAAGAGTGCCCGATCAGTGCCTAATGATTGCTGGAAGGTCCCTACCTTGAACAATACTTTGTCGGATACGGATAAGATGGACAGGATCTCCATGCTTGTTACCCAGATGCACCAATATTATCTGGTGATCCTCCTTCATCAACCGTACTTGTTACTGCAGCTGAGCAACCATACATATTTCAGTCCATCAGCAATCTCACCTATACTACCCGACTACTCATACAGCAGACATGTGGTCGTCCCTGCAAGCCGTGAAGTACTGAGTCGCTGTCTCGAGTTCCGGAATATACGGCCTATTCTCTCTTACCGAGGGCTTGAACATAAAGCCTTCGTCGCAGCAGTGACCCTGCTCTTGTCTCATATATTGGGACACCGGTCGGGCTCGGAGAACGTCCTAGAACATCAACGGCCTCAAGACCTGGCCATGATTCAACAGGCAATTGACACCTTGGATGAACTCTGCACTTCAAATGACCCCAATAGAGACTCTGCGATCCAAACAAGGAATTTGTTGAGCAAACTCCTAAGTATTGAGGCTGAGGCAGCCGACGGTATCAATTACATTTCATGCATTGAAAAGGACAGTGTTGGTTCAGATGATGCCCTGTGCGGTACTTCCCACCAAGGCCTGAAGTTTTCCATTCCGTACTTTGGAGTTATCTGCGTTATTCCTGGGCCAGTTCCAAATCTGCAAACAGATGGCCTACTCGCAGGGTCCGCACAGGCAACAGGACCACAAGGCCTTCTCCCTTCGACACTTACACAACTGGAACTTGATTGTGGCTCGAATTCTCAGCTCGCTCTATCGTCTAATCTTCAAGCCGAGATGCAGTTGCTTTATGACTGGTCACTTGAACCGAACGTCCTCAACGAAGGCTAATCAAATAAACACGTTTGACATCCGTCATGGAAAAAGAGTTGGAAAGGGACGACTATATATACACGGGCTTCTTTTTGGACAATCCTTACACTATCCCGGGACCAAGACATATCCCAATATGCCACTCACAATTGTGGGGTATCGGCAAAGGCAAAACCAGTCAAGGCCTGAAAGCGCCCACCCGCGACATATTGGGCGATCTGCCGAATTGACTGTTCTTCTTCCTCCGACAATTGGAAAGACAAACTGGCCAAGTTCTCCTCCAGTCGATGAATCTTGCTTGTTCCTGGAATCGCAAAGACATCGTCCCCCTGAGCGAACAACCACCCCAGCGCCAGCTGTGCCGTGGTCATACCCTTCGCCTTAGCGATCTCAGTCAGCTGATCCACCACAGCCACATTCTTCTCGATATTCCCTTTTCTAAGCCAGGGAAGCACGCCTCTGACATCCCCGGGCTTTCTGACGTCCTCCAGCGACCGAATCGCTCCGCTGAGGATCCCATTGCCGAGCGGACTATACGCAACGATAGCGACGCCCAGCTCGCGAGCAGTCTGCAGCAATTGCACCTGAGGGGACTCGATATCCCTACAGAAGACACTGTATTCTACCTGCACACACGATATGGGGTGCACTGCATGGGCCCGACGGAGCGAATCCGCACTGCACTCGCTCAGCCCCAGGTATTTGATCTTGCCCTCCTGCTTGAGCGCGACCATGGCTTCGATGGTCTTCTCAATAGGGGTGACCTTGTCCAAGCGATGGACGTAGTACAGGTCCACATATGGCAGTCCGAGGCGCTTCAATGACTTCTCAATCGCGATCCGACAGTATTCCGGACTGGAATCCATCCAATTCTTCATGCCGTCTTTGGCTTCGGGGTTTGTGCAAATGCCGAACTTGGTGGCTAGGAAGATATCCTTCCGCTTGTCGGGGTTCTGGGCGAACCATTTGCCCAGAACGCTTTCGGAATCATCGTATTTGTCGGCTGCGGTTGTCAGAATCTGTCCATCTTAAGGGATCCACGACTACATACCGGTATCCCAGAAGGTCTCACCCCTTTTGTATGCCTCGTCCAAAAATTTCAGATGTTCGGTTTCTGGGAGGGGTTGACCATAAGTGCCACTGGCACCCATGAGTCCGAGGCCGATTCGCGGAATGAGTGGGCCATTGTTACCCAGAGAGCGAGCAGGAAGTTTGCCGAAAGCGGTCATTTTGCAGTAATGATGATTGCTGAAAGATTTTGTATCTACCGAAGATGACACCCCCAGCAATATGCCATTTCGGCTCTTTTATGCCTTTGCGATGCCGGACTTTGCGGCGGAATTGACTGCCTCGAGCAGGGCCAGACGACAGCCTTGGTGCCTGAGGCCTTCACACGCAATGATTCCGCCGCTTAATTCCGCCGCTAACTCCGCCGTCGCCGATCGCCATCAACGCGATGCCTTGCTTTGTTAGCTAGGCTGTCCGCCAGGTGTCCATTCCGGGGTAACTGCCTTCTCATAGCTACGAGCTTAATGAAGTTGTAAGCAACACTATAGTGAGCGGACGGCGTCATGGCTCTTATTTTACATCGTTATTTCCGAGCAGCTGTCATGTTAAGCCTGTTTTCCGTGAGACAGGCATCTACGGAGGACCGACACGAGATGAGGATAGGGAATAGCAGTTGTATAACACATTCCTGGTCCAGACGCCTCTCCTTAGGTTGTACCTAAGATACACTGCGCCTAAGAACAACCGGGAGCTCCGGATACGGATGTGGTGAGGTCATCCCGGACACAAAGTTTCGGTGCAACCCCCGTCCCTCATATAAGTCGACGGCCACGTCGCCCTCATTTTCGGGCAGGATAGGCCCTGCCAATAATAGCAACATTTAATTTAACCTCGTGTTTGGCAGTGTTATTCCCTGAAACGCCGTCAGAATGGTCCACCTGTCGACCGTCCGTAAAGAGTCCCACGCCCATCAGCGTCAGCGCGAAGAACGCGATGCGCAGGCAGCCGCAGTGTCACCTTACGTGTACGGGACACGTTATGCAGTCGAAGAGCTGCCGGAGCATAGCATGTCGGAGCATGAGATGCCAGCCCCGGTGGCATATCGCATGATCAAGGATGAGTTGAGCTTGGATGGGAATCCCCTGCTCAAGTAATACCTCGCTTCTCTTTCTGCTCTTTGAGCCGTCAATAGTAACATGTACTAGTTTAGCAAGCTTTGTCACTACCTATATGGTAAGACTGATGTTGAAAAACAAACCCAACACCCCCGCTAACACCATCACAGGAAGATGAAGTGCAACAGCTCATGTCCGACGCCATGAGCAAGAACTTCATCGACTACGAACAGTATCCACAGACTGCGCATATGCAGAACCGCTGTGTCAATATGATCGCCGGTCTGTTCCATGCACCTAGTATTAATGACCCAAGCAACGAGCAAGACGCCATCGGCACCTCGACGGTCGGGTCCTCAGAAGCGATCATGCTGGCCATGCTGGCCATGAAGAAACGCTGGCAGAACAAGCGGAAAGAAGCTGGGAAGGACTGGTCGCGCCCGAACATCATCATGAATAGTGCGGTACAGGTATGCTGGGAGAAAGCAGCGCGGTATTTCGAGGTCGAGGAGAGATATGTCTATTGCACGGAGACCCGCTATGTCATTGACCCCAAGGAGGCGGTGGATCTGGTAGACGAAAACACGGTGGGAATCTGTGCAATCCTAGGGACAACGTACACAGGGCAGTATGAGGATGTCAAGGCGATCAATGACCTGCTGATAGCGAAGAATATCGACTGCCCAATACATGTGGATGCGGCTAGTGGCGGGTTTGTGGTGCCCTTTGTGAAACCAGAGCTGGAGTGGGACTTCCGCCTGGAAAAAGTCATCTCCATAAATGTCTCAGGGCATAAATACGGACTGGTGAGATACATCATAAACCAGTACACCTCGCCGAATGCGGACACAGACTGATAGTGACAGGTCTATCCCGGCGTTGGTTGGGTTTTCTGGCGCGCCCCCGAATACCTTCCCAAAGAGCTCATTTTCAACATCAATTATCTGGGCGCCGAGCAGGCCAGCTTCACGTTGAACTTTTCCAAAGGCGCCCCCCACGTCATCGGGCAATACTACCAACTGATCCGGCTAGGCAAGCATGGCTTCCGATCGATCATGACAAACCTCACGCAGACTGCCGACCATCTAGCAGCGGAGTTGGAGAAACTCGGCTTTATTATCATGAGCGAGGGTGGAGGTCGGGGTCTTCCTCTAGTTGCATTCCGATTACCCGAACAAGAGGGTCGGCTGTACGACGAATTCGCTCTGGCCCATGTGCTGCGTCGCCGGGGATGGGTGATTCCGGCGTATACCATGGCCCCGAAGTGTAATCAATTGAGGATGATGCGGATCGTGCTGCGCGAGGACTTCAGTTTGCACCGGTGTAACCTGCTCGTGGAGGACATCCGACTGGGCCTGAAGACGCTAGAGGATATGGACGAGACCATGGTCAAGCGGTACAGCACGTACGTGATTTATCTTATTCTGTCTCTGAAGGCGACCGGGCATAAACTGACACCCAGCAGATACATCCAGACACATGCTACGCGCGGTCCACAAGGTCATCCGGTGTATGGAAACGAGCAGCATTCGCTTCAGGGGAAGTCGGGGAAAACACATGCGGTCTGTTGAACCAGTCATTCGTGCGCGGTGTACTTTACCACTTTATTGTCAGTCTGCCTGTGATACGTCAGCTCCCCTCCAAAACCTTCATCAGCCATTATCCTTGTTCTGCCCAGTATTAGTAGCTACTTTTGTGAAATCTGTCAGTGCCAAGTCATCCTCAACAGGCGGTCCCCTTACTCTGGAAAGCTGACAGCGGTAAGCGGGGATGAATCAAGGAAAAGTAGCTGGTGGGTTCGGCTGGCAAAGTCGGCAGCAATCGCCAGCATGTCCAACGAGCTCGTGCCCGGGTGCGTCAATGCAGCTGTCTATTCCGGCTGCATCGAACGAACCCCTCCTCCCTTACGTAGAGTCTATTTGGCTGCATGCTGCGGGCGACCATTTGCCAGTATTGATAGGCCGCGTAGTGGGCTCCACGCCCTCGCAGCACCGGACGCCCTTCGGTGCATGAACCCACCAGTCGAGCTCCACCGATAAAATTAAACTCCGGTGAACGGCTGCAATGTAATAACAGCTTGTACAGGAGGATAGTGCACAAAAACGGTGGGCTTTGATGGATAGTAATCCAAAAGGAACCGAAGAAAAATCTTCAAATTTGGCCCTCGATGAGGTCAATCCTGACACACTTCGCATTTCCGGTGGCGCGGCGCCGAGCGATCTCCGGATCATCTAACAACGTTGTTGGATCTTACAACGTTCAAGACAGTTCCCCGATATCGGTCACTCACTGAAGATAATCGGGGACCACTGGGTATAATCAGGGCTAACCGAATCCGAAAGTCTGATTGATAGACGACCTGTCATGTTCATAGAGAGGCAGAGTTCGCATTCACCGCGTCGCGCGCGGCCCCTTTGGGGTTTTGAGTTCCGCAAAGTCGCTCAGACACACAGCAAGCAGCTGATGAATCACATCCGAGACAATCAATAGTCGGATTGACAATGCAGTAGTCAGAGTCTGACTATCAATAATCAACAGCCACTGCGGTCCGTGGCCCTGTCAATCCGGGGTGTTTTTTTCCCACTACCCCTTCCTTCCAGTCTACTTACCAAGCGCTACACGCTGGCCGACAACAAGCTTCATCCTCGCCCAACTATCGTATGCCTCGTCCTTCCACAAAAACAAACCTCGGTTACTCATACTCGATTTTTCCTCACTTACGAGAAAACATTGAACTCTGTTTTGTTGCGCATCTCATCTAAGCATTGAAGCCTAATCCTCCGAGCCTCTGTGACTTTGACCGCTACGAGATGAGGCTACGCAATGGAGTCCACTCGGAACGATAATCCCCTCCTTCTTGTTTCTTCTTCTCCTCTCATCGTCTACTTCCTCTTTCTTGTCTGCTTTGACAACTGTGTTCACGCACTGCATGCTGCGCGTTCACTAGGCTACTGCTTTTCTCAGTTACAGTTCACATAGCTCACTTTTTATCTCCTGACTATCACAATGCATTGAAGTAAAATTTCCGGGGCAACCCACATACTTACTGTGTCAATTCCACCTGACTACTTATGTATTGCTCGTTTCCCCCTTCCTCGACCATGACTTAGGTCGCAGGAAGAAGATAGAAAAGAAAAGGACTCTGTACCCTCGTCCCAGCCAGCCAGCCAGATAGCCATCCAGGCAACATGGCCAACATAATCTGGCTCGCCCTCGTCCTCGTGGCGCTGAGTATCCACGTGCAAGCCAAAGACGTCTTTGCGCACTTCATCGTCCGTTTCCCCCCTCACCCACGCCCTACCAAGCATCACCCACTAACCCTACGCCCAGCTCGCCAACGCCGAGAACTTCACCCAGACCCACTGGACGCGCGACATCAGCGCCGCCAAAGCAGCCCAAATCGACGCCTTTGCCCTGAACACCGGCTATGGCGCCGCCAACACCGACCAACTGCTCACAGACGCCTTGACCGTCGCGGCAGCACACGACTTCAAACTCTTCCTGTCCCTCGACTACTCTGGCGACGGGCACTGGCCACCAGACCAAGTCCTGAAAGTCCTGCAAGGCTACGCCAACCACTCAGCCTACTACCGAGTCGACAACAAGCACCCGCTGGTTTCCACCTTCGAGGGCTACGAAGCCCTGTCCGACTGGTCCACCATCAAAGAGAAACTCCCTGATATCTATTTCATGCCCGAATGGTCTGTACGAACCCCCCAGGAACTAGCCAGCGAAGATGTCGTGGACGGGTTACTCTCCTGGAGCGCCTGGCCGTACGGGACCACGCCGATGAACACGTCCACAGACGAGCAGTACATCTCCGCCCTGAAAGCCAAGGACAAACCGTACATCATGCCCGTCAGTCCATGGTTCTACACCGACATGGTACGGTACCACAAGAACTGGGTATGGCAGGGCGATGGGCTGTGGCATACGCGGTGGAAGCAGGTGCTCGACCTGCAGCCGCAGTTCGTCGAGATCCTTACGTGGAACGACTTCGGCGAGTCGCATTACATCGGGCCCTTGCATGAGAACGAGCTAGGGATATTTTCTTTCGGACAGGCGCCGTTCAACTACGCATCGGGAATGGTGCATGATGCGTGGAGGGAGTTTCTTCCGTATGTGGTGGGTGAATACAAGAATGGAAGTGGGAAGGGGGTGATTGATAAGGAAGGGGTGGTGGTTTGGTATAGGGTTACGCCGGCGTGGGCATGTAAAGCGGGCTTGACTACGGGGAATTCGGTCACGCAGGGCCAGCAGACGATGCCGCCGGGGCAGGTGCTGAAGGATGAAGTATTCTTTCAGGCGTTGTTGGAGGATACTGCGGATGTGGAGGTGAGTATTGGTGGTGGGGAAAATAAGTCCGTGGGTTGGACGGATACGCCTAGTGGTGGGAGTAGTGGTGGTGGGAGGGGATTGTATTTTGGGAGTGTGCCGATGGATAATCGCACGGGTGAGGTGGTGGTTACGTTGAGTAGGGATGGGAAGTTCGTGGCGCAGATGATTGGAGAGAAGATTACGACGCAGTGTCCGGATAAGTTGACGAACTGGAATGCGTGGGTGGGCACGGCCATGTCGAATGTGTCGAATGCTAGTACGTCGCGTGCCTCGTTGTCGGAGGAGAATAGTGCGGCCAGTGTGAGGGTTGGAGGAGGACGTGGGATGGAGATGTGGATGGGGGTACTGTGGATGATCGTGGTGGTAGGTATAAGTGGAGTTTTGCTTTAGATCTTTTTTCCGTTTTAGAGCCTCGATCGATCTCATATCTCGATATACTGGTAGTAATATCTAATATCTTGGACTTTTTCTTGATCTTGGTGGAGCGAGTGGTTCTGCACGGGGACTTTCCGAGGGCCCTATGTGAGGGTTCTTGTAGCTGTGATCTGCACAGATTAGGGCTGACCGGAGTATACCGACCAAATGGGCTTGCGGCTCTCAGATCAACGAGGAGGTCCTGATTCAACGCAGAGAGCGATTACCGCTTGTGGAAGGTGATAGAGTTTATCTTGACTCGTCTTCAAAGGCGTTTCGGCGTCGCCGAAGGACGTGCACGGGCTGATGGGAACAAAGACGCTTGGTTCTCGATGCTGATGGGTGGATTTGGGGGATTTTGCCGTCGGGGGGGACATTAGATAATCTATAACCCCCCGGTACCTGCTGGGCCATGTGGGATGTTGAAGGTGATCGTCGCTAGTCATGATTATACTATACTCAATAGAGTCTGGTGTTGATATCAGTTGGAGATATGAGCCTCATGTTGGAGATAATGGTGATCCCAGTTCTTAGACTCCGCTGCAGATTACGCTGATCTGGGGTATTCACTTATCCACCCGATCGAGATCGAAGAGAGGCCTGGGCTGCTGCTAGATCAACTTCACATTCCTCAACGTTCTGCGGCATGCCGTTCGTCTATGACAAGCACATAAGGCTTGGATACGAGCATATTTGTCATTTAATACCTGCATAAAATTTCCCTGACAGATCTAGTAGGATATAGTTACCATATGACAGTTGAGGCAACAACATCTAGGCTTTACATTGACCTGCCCTATTGGGACAAAACACCCGGGGTAGCAGGTTAGTCCAATAGTACATGAATAATAGGCTTTACTCGGTCTTACATTACCCAATGATGAAGGAGACTGCACCATTTTCCAACCCAGTCTCGAGAGGCAGTGCCCGATTTCAACCCATTAGCGGCCGGAATTCCAAGTCAATGACGCAAAGACCAAACTTTGCTCGCCACCGGCCGGCGACACCGTTGGCCTAAGCTCTCTCAAGTCTGGGGTTCGGCCGGTGCCCGCCAAGAGTCGGCGCTGGCTAGACGCACCTGATTGCACTGATTGTACTTTTGACAGCTCTCGAGACCTTACTTTCTTCACGGCCGATGGATGAGTGGGCGTCGGACTCGGCCGCCAGTGGCAATGGCCTAGACTCCACCCAGCCCTGAGCAGAGTATGCAAGTGCGAGCTATCTTCAAAATTCACGAGTTGCTGGTCCAGGGCAAGAATTATAAAGATTGCCCTGATCCTGCCCCTGACCTTGAAGTCAGATTATAACCAGAACAATCAAATTCGCATAGTACATCCATATTCTCGATGCAATAACACGACGACTACAAATTACACCGACTACCTCCTAGTGCCATTACCACCAGCACTCCTCTACATTAATCACCTTTTTGACATTTACTCTTCACAACGTCAACCACAATGGCCGGTATTGAACTTCCTCCTCACCTGATGCGTCAGGCCACCCGCACCAACAGCCGCATTCCTCCCATGGCTCGTCGCTCCGTCTCGCCCTTTCCCTGTCGCATGGCCGCTCTCTCCCGCGACAAGCTTCACAAGGAAGCCTCTACAAAAAGCCCTGATCTGCGCCGATGCCTTGCTCACCACACTCTCCTCAACCGCTCCATTGAAGCCGCCCAGCAAGACGTGCGTCGGCGCATGGCATCTTTCCACCTCGATGAAGAAGACGATGATGACTTTACCACCTCCTACCACTCTACACCCAATGAGGCAACGGCTGTTCCTCTCATCCGTGTTCAGATCACCAATGCTGTGCGGGCTATGGTCAAGCGTCGTGCCGCCGATAGCCAACAGAACGAGCACCCGAGTGGGCTGACGCGGGTGTCAGCAAATGCAGACAAGACAGGCTCTGCCAGCAGCAGCAGCGGCAGCGGCGGCGGCATGAAGAGTCTGAAGAGAGTTCCTCGCGTGGTGTTTGGCCGGCGCCGCTGGCCGTTGTACGGAGCGGGACCACTGCAGAGCGGGCTGGTTAGCTGACACGGCGAATGTTGCAGCATTCCTTGTGTGGCTCGTGACGGGCTGCGGCTGGACCCCGCCAATGGCATCCTTGTTCTGTTATCTTTTTTTCATCGACATACTTTCTTACTGTATTACTTTATTTTCTCTCATCCCTGGACAGACTGGATGCCTTGTGTCACGTGCAACAGATATGGGTTTTGTACATAATAATTGTCTCTTACACTACACTTCACTGTACTACTTAGAATACGTCATATATTGTACATTTATCTATTCTATGACTCCTCCATTGTAAATCTCACTTATTTACACACAATACCAGTACTACTGGAGTGTAGACTATCATTGACCCACGCAGCCCGGTCTCAATCGTCAATTGCTGCACGGGCATCACTAGTCGCCGATCAGTCTCACCCATCCCGACCCGCTCCGCCCAATCAATCCCCTCACCCTATCCCAATCGGGCAATCCAGCTCTGCAGTTCAATCTCAGCCGCATTCCAAACCCACAATCCCCCCAGCTTATAATAATGTCTCCCAGCCCCCACGCCTGCGTTCTTTTATCTTCCCGTCTTTTCCTCTCCAGAAGAAAATCAGAAAACCAGGAAAAATATGCCACAATGGATCCCCCCGGCACAATTCCTCGCTATCCAACTCCTAACCGGCACCACTGTCGCCTTCACTCCGGCTAACTCTCCCCTCCGATCAATCGCCTCCCTCGTCGTACTCATCCTCGCCTACTGCATGCAAATTAGCGCAAATGCCCACCTCCACGGCACCCGCTTCGGCGCTCCGCTCGTCGCAATGTGCTGGATGAATGTTCTCAACGGGATAGATTTACTGGTTCTCACGCGCGCGGACTACGATAAACAACTAGCATACAACACCTAGCAGAAACCGACCTCCAAAGACAAATCGCCACATGAACCACAAACGAAATCGCTCATAGATAAATATCTCTGGTCCCTAAACCTCTCATTCAACTACCGCCGCATCAACACCCCCTGGCAAATCCACGCCCTCACCACATTCAACAAAACCCCCACTCGGACACGATTCCTCCTCACCTCCCTCCTCAAACTCACCATCTCCATTGCGATCATCCAACTCTTCACCCTCGAGACCACCGATCCGTATCTCGGCCGCGCAGTGGATAAATTACCCGTTCGGCCGGACGAGATCCTCCTCCCGTTTCGGTATCACGTTGGCTGGGGGAAAGATGATCTTTTTCTCCGGTTCCTCTTCACTCTCTCCTTTGGGATCGTAGCGCGCGCATTCATCGTCACGGGGTATACCGCTGCCGCGGTGGTGGCTGTAGCATTGGGCCAGGAGCCGAGTATGTGGCCGCCTGTTGGGGGTGGATTGCTGGATGCGTGGTCGATTAGGAGGTTCTGGGGGTATGCATACACCTTCCTCCCATTCATTATTGCAGTTCTTGTACTAATGAAGTATGTGATGCTACAGAAAAACATGGCACCAAACCCTCCGCCAACTCCTTTGCTCGAACGCGGATTTCGTCTCGGGCTCTATCCTGCGCCTTCCGGTCCGATTCCAGTGGTGCTTTCGAGTTATTTTCGCGTTCCTTGTTTCGGGATTAGTGCATACGGGCATGGATGTCGGGTTCGGGGTACGGATTGATGAGAGTGGGGCGTTGTGGTTCTTCGCGTTGCAGATTCTGGGTGTAGCCGGGGAGATGCTTGCTGAGAGGTTGTTGGCTCCGGTGAGTGTGTTCTTGTCGAGGGGGGTTAGGAGGGGAGTCGGGTTTGTTTGGGTTGCGGTCTTTATGCTCTGGACTTTGCCGGTGTGGATTTATCCGATTCTGGTCCAGTTGTATGCGGATGGGGTGCGCATGATGAGTCCGTTTTTGGGGCTGGGGGGTTGGGATGTTTGATTTTGGTTTTTGGGTTGCATAGCGTTAGGTTTGGGTATCATTGGCATGCTAAATTATACTAGATTATAGACGTATAGTACGTATAGAGCTGAATATGGCTATAATGCGGCATCCCAATCTACCCACGCGAATGTGTTTAACAAGTCGAGATGGGGATCTGCGCCTACAAAGTCGGGCAGCGCGTCCAGGGCTCTTGTCGGACTGTGCAGCGATGCCGGCATGCTGAGGATTCGGTCCAATGAGCGTTGCAATATTCCCTTGATTTGCGCCTTGGCTGCGATGTCGGATTCCGAGGGGCGGAGCCAGTCGAGGAAGGCGACCAGTACACTGAGGTCCTGGATGATGTCCGATCGAGGAAGTTCTAAGGTGTAAGTTTCGGGAGAGCTAGATTGGCGGAGCAGCTCAAGGCAGAGAATGCCGCTGCCTGGGACGGCGTAGGACATAGCCTGAGCATGTTGAGTCAGTATTGATGAGGTGTATCTGTTTGAAGGGGAATGTGAGTCATACCAGCCAGGAAAAATCAACGTGATTCTCGAACCGGTCCTTGTGCTTCCAGTAGATCAAGGTTAATCCTACCATTTCATGGCTAACCTGGATTAGCGCCTGTTCATCAACCACCCTGTGTCGGGTCAGTAGTCGCTCTAAGATGAACAGGTTGAGCAGAAAATCCAAGCGCACAAGGACACGCAAAGCGAGCAGCTGGCCGGGCATGTCGCGGTCGTGGACGTGATCTGTTTTGAACTTGATGACTTCGGGAAATTGTGCGTAGATGTCTGTAGCTTGTGCTTTGAGGTGGCTGTTCGCTTATCAGCAGTTGCAAGTGCGAGGGATACAGATTAGGCTGAAGTCATACAGGCATGTTTGAACTGCAGCATCTGTGATGCTATCCTGCGAAGTCTCTAAAACTTCTAGCATCTCTTCGCGGTTCCTTGCTAGCATTGCTCGCGCCCGTAAGATGGTGGCAGGATACGGCTGTCGGTCTTCGCTGCTGTCCCAACCATTTGAGTTGAGCTTTGCCACGGCATCGCCAATTCTGCCGGAGAATATATCTTCGTCGTCAATGTCCAGCGGCAGCTTGGTCGTCGAGTACTTTCTGTTCAGGAGCGGTGGTCTGCCGGTAAATGTGGAGATGACCTTGTCGAAATTGTAAATCGATGCGTAGACTCGTCGCTTGAGTTCGTACTGGAACGAAACCTCGTTCCAATCAGATGATAATTCCCGGTGAAGGCCAATGGATGTCGTGACTGCAATTACATCGCCATGTTGGCGCCAGCAAGAAAGGCCTGTTAATCAGCGCTATGTGCTATGCTTGGATATCTCCGGGTTAGGACTTACTCTTATCACCACTGGCAATGCTCTCGAGGATGTTATGTTTGAACGCCAAATGGACAAAAAGAATATTAATTGCACCCAGCTGACTGCACAACTCAATGCACATAGATGCACACCGTTTCAGATGCACCATAAGGTCTTTGGGTCTCTTGAACGCATGTTGCTGACAGTACTGGGTGATGATATCGTGCTGTACCGGCAACTGTGAGGCTGCAGACGACCAAAAAGTGAACAAGGATCCTAGAAGCTCCCAACGAGTTCTCTTTCCCGAGAAAGACTCGATCCAGAGGTGTGGATCTTGTACAGCCGGTAAAGGCGTTAGACTGCACTCTGAAAACCGCTTCGCAACAAACTGTAGGTGCTCGCTGTTCCGCAGCCGGAGCACGTCACGATACTCATCCCACATCTTATCAGACGCGATTCGATAAGCTGGTCGGAAGCAGGCATCCATCAAAGCCATCGGATGAACGAAAAGTAGGTTACATGTTCGTTCATCGGGCAGGTTTTGTAGGATCTGTATCCCCAGTTGGAGCATTCTCGGCGTGATGGTAGGGTTCCCCGGCTGGGTGGGTGATTGCGCCCCGACACCATCGATACCCCCTCCAGTGGGCGTTTTCAGGGTCTGATCCACTCCGAATCGATCCCGATGTTCTACAAATACAGATGAAAAACTCGTGGGCCCCAGGTACTCGGCTGAGCTTTCGAGGATGGGCGTGGTCGACTGGGCTCCCGGGCAGGTTTTGGTACTTGGGACACCCTCGCTCTCATTGTTCAAGACAGTCGGCGAGTCAGCCTCAGGCAGGCTTCTCGCTCTGCCTTTGGTGAGTGGATTGGCAAGATAGACGCATTTCAAGGATAGTCTCCGACACCGCTGGCAGGCGGGGGTTTCGTGGTCGCAGGCCAGTTTGCGTCGCCGGCATGCCTCACAAGCTGGCTCTCGGCCATTCTTCCGCCTGAGAGCGGGCATGGAATAGGTCGGAGTAACTGTGAGCCCCGAATGGGAACAGCTATATGGTTATTTTGGAACGGTGTTGGCAAACATAGATGGTAGATGGCTGGTGGGTATGCTTGAGACGGAATCGGCTTCGGCTTCGGTGTAGATTGGACTCAAGAAAAAGTGGGGCTGTTCAAAGGGCAAACGGCAAAAAAGAATGACCAGACTGGGGCTCGATCCCAGGACCTTATCGGTGTTAACGATACGTGATAACCAACTACACCATCCGGCCAATGCTTGGGGATGTTTTGATTCATTTGCTCTATGTCCGGCTGGCATTTACTTCCGTGACGGTCGCTGATAAGAGTTTCCTGATCCAGCTCGAGTTTTGTACACAGTTATGGTTCGTCATTCACCACTCTCGAGATTATAATCACATCTCCGACGTATAGAGAAGCAAACTCTGTTATGAAAAAGGACTGCAAGAACATGGTAATTATGGATTGGTCTCGGTGTTACTAATTGTTCGACGTGACAGATATATATTTTGGCTTCCTTCATGGTAAGTATAAAAATGTAAACACCCCCTACTGGCTAGTACTAGTACTTTGGCGCACTAGTAGTATTGGACTTTCAAAGTATCTTACTTCTGCATCGCGTAGTGCTCTTAGGTATCAACATAGTATATTCGATGATTTGTCTAACTATGACGAATTGCTATATCCGCCCAGTGGATTGGTCGTATATCATCAAGACAATAGCGTAAGGCATGTCATCATCAGCAGCCAGAATGGCTAACTTTCCTCATGTTTTAACTCAACGGTAATAACCAGAGATAGTATAAACGTCGTCAAAATAATCTACTGTTGTTAGTAACACCATCCCACTCAAACGCAGCGAGTCAAACTCACCAATCCAATCAACACCCCGATACAGTTCAACTCCCACCCCCCCGCATACACAGTCCCCAAAGCCACCACATTCTGCTGCTTCCAGAAGCGATACGCACCCATGGCAGCTATCAAAATCGCCACGCCATAGCAGCTAACCGCCAGGGGAATCCCCACTTCATAGAACCCCAGTGCTGTATCCGGCGAAGCTAAATGCTGGAGTCGAAATAATTGGGCGATTAATACACCTTGCATGGCGACCATGACCGAAGTACGAATGTAAGCTAAGAAAGTTCGCTCTAAAGCTAAATGGATAGTGTGAGATGTCAGCAGCAGCCTTGCATTCCTTCTGCGTTATTGTTGGTGAATGGATGAGCTCGTGATTATCTGGCGCCATAGCCACGTGCGATTGCGCCATTTTAGTGGCATCAATAGTATTGAATGTATGCGTCGGATGGAGTAATATGCGAAGTATATATCAGAAAGCGAGGTGCCCACTCACCGAAATGGTCCCGATTACTCTTCTGCGGCACTGTCAACACCACATTTCGTGTCCAAAAGCGACGAATATGTCCCGCCAGCCCCTTGCTTGTGTGCTCCCGGTTGGAATGAGTGGTGCGGGAAACGGTCCGATGTGTGCGGATACGATATTCGCCCGAGGAGATCGATTCGGTTGAGAAGCCGGCCTCGTCGTCATCTTGAGTGGCTATATTGCGGAGTTCGAGGGCATCCAGGTCGTTATCTGTGCTTCTGGCGTCGTCATCATCGCGATGAGGTCGTTGAGCTGTGTGGCAGGCAGCTGGTGGGGTGAGAATCTCCTCGCGACCGGTCGCTGCAGCGATCGCCTTGTCCGGTGCAGAGTGATTGTCCTGGCGATCAACCATGATGTATACTAAGCTTCCTAGCTTTCGCACAGGAAGCTGTGCGACATGCTGCTGTTGCTGTTTCTGGGGGGGAAAAGGATGGGAAAGGGAAAGGGTCGATGCGGTGAAGAGGCGTCACAGCTGGCTGGCAGGTTCCTTGGTTTGTTGGTCGGCGACTCCCCTGCTTCCCCGGCCGGCGCTTATCTGATTGGGTTCGGATACTCGGCAGTGGCAGAGCTTGTTGCTCTTCCAAGTTTGCTGCTCTGAAGGAATCGCCGATTGAACAATCTCATTCGCGAATTGACCTGCCAGTGGATATGACGTAATGATTTTGGGGACATTCTGCCTAGATTATATGGATCGAGATATAATTTCACGACGAGGAGCAAGGACGACTAAACTCGAATTCCAGACAATCCCCCGGATCATCACCTAAATCAACCCCTCATTCAACCCCGGACTCCAACTCCGCTAATGCTCCACCCAACCCAACAATGTGTATCACTGTATACTATGCCGTGTTAATGGCCACCCACTCCTCCCGCTTGTCGCCGAAAAACACCGATTCAGGCTTTGACACACTGTCAAACAGCGCCGCCTTCAAATACGCCTTTCCTGGCACCTTGGGCGATAATGTGAATAGTGGGCTGTGTCCAAGCTGCATCAGCAAATCATTACAGGAACGAAGCACAATCAACAACTAACCTTCCACAACTAGAGCAGAAATGGCGCTACAGAGACCGAGTTAGCCCAGCAAACTCCCACTATCGTCCCCGAACTGCATATGATCCCACCTGAATTGTGTTCCCCGAAGAAGTATTGGGATCGCTGTAGATCTTCATTGCCTGGCTAGGGTCTTCGATGGTCATGTCATCTTGATTGATGAAGTAGTTGATTGAGAAGGCTGGTTGGTTTAGTCTTGGGCGGCTACTGCAGGGTAGGGACGGGGAAAGGAGACATACAGCCTCCTCCAGCTTTCTTGCAGTTGATGCTGCGCAACATTCGATTAGTCCAGATTCCCTACTGATGGATGATCTTGAGGTGGTACCAGTGGCAGGCTACACTCCTCTCCGGCTGCGCCGGGAGGGTGATGGAGATGCTGGTGCAGTTACAACGGCCGGTGTAGGGCATGAGGAAGGTGCTGTGGGTGCTAAAAGACGGAAAGTGATACTCTCTTGATCGGTGGCAGCTTGCCGGGATTTAAAGGCCAATGTCAGGGGCAGGAGAAGTGGAGCATTGCCCATCCACTTTAAATCCACGTTAGAGACCAGCAATTCGGAGTTGAAACGGTTTAAGGGAAGCCTCGATAAGAGGTCATACTCCACTCGAGTGGATCTTTGCCCGACGAGGGATTGATAATCATCGTTTTCCGCCAGTTCCGTGGATACCATGTTGTGCCTGAGGCTGCAATGTATGGGGCATCATAGTATAGGGGGTCCCAGCTGTCGAACTTTGATCCCATCTTACGAAGTCTTAAGATCAATATAATGACGGAGAGATGGAAAGGATATACAAGTTGGATGAAAAGAACTAAACAACACGTTAAGGGATAGCAGAGTGTGAGGGATAGCTTTTTTTTTTTAAAATGGACGTGCATACTGAGCCAAATATCTTGTTATATTGGTAAATCTGAGCATTCCGCAGAAGGCCTGACAACCAACAGCCCTTCGGGTAACGCCTCTTTCATAAATCAAACTCAAAAGAAACCTGCTTGACAAGCTCCAGCGTGCCCCGCTCGACATTAGGCGCCATCCCATTCACAACATCAACTGTAAAACTGTTCAACTCCAGAATCCGGTCCATACGAACCATCTTCATCATACACTCATCGCAGTTGCTACTCTTCGAGTACGTAGCAGCAGCACCCCGAGTGGCAAATCCCGCAACCTGACTGCTGTCTAGGTCCGACAAACAGCCGCTCTCAACCTTGCGGATCACCCGCTTGCAAAACCCCATATAGAGCAAATCTGGCTAAAATGAATTCTACTCGTTATTCATATCTAAATGTAGAATATCTTCAACGGCGTGGAAGGGAACAAAGCAAACTTCTAGTGATATGACACGTGATACGCAATGTTAGTATGTTTGTTAAAATTTATGTTTATCAAGCGAATATAAATCCAATCAGGACAATAGTTACACGCTTAACCTTAAGGCCCATGACGCAGCGATATGGAGGTGGTCAATGAAAATCTATATGACAAAGCACCCAGTCTTGTCAGTGACGTATTTTAAAGAGAAACTTACAGTTTTACAGGAATCAACCTATGTGTTACTGGATAAAAACTGATATTCATTGTAACAATAGGATGATAACAAGGAATTCTGGCATCCACTTTGGTCAGTCACTATATTTGGAACATACCAGGCAATAGATGGATTGCATCTGCTGTCATAACAAAGAACCGACAGTATGTTCCACTAACACTGTATATGGAGTTTTAAGGCGTTCATCACGGCTGGAATAGACACGGCTGAGGTAGTATCTAGCAAAGCCTGACGATAATTTGAATCATTATCATCCACTAAGTTGTATGGCAACATAAGACCTACTGTTTTCATGTATCTACCGTCAAACATAAGGAATCCAAGTACTTGACACCACGCCTGTGTCATATCGGAGACAATGAAAATAAATCAGGTAGACACACCGATTATAGCAATTTCCTTCGTGAAAGAGAGACATTGACAGCAGACTGACAAGCGGGGCCCACATTCCGCTGGGTTACTTCAGAGAGCGACTGCCAACTTATGATCCAGTGGCATGGATTGGCCTAGAGCGGCCCATAACGGGCGGAGTATGAAGCCAGATGCTGTCACCGAATTCAGAACCGCCCGGGGTTGGTCCTCGATAGACGACCAGTGATGAGACAGGGTTTGTCCAATCGAACGCTGTCACAATTTGGTGCTCTCGCTGCAGCCTTGAATACCTGAAGAACTGACAAAACAACTGATGATTATTTAGTAAGGACAAATTACACAAGGTATCGTTGGTGGGGAGGTGACTGTTTGGTAGGCAAGGATTGGAATGTACTACCACAGCCGAGAATCTTCTGTGACCGTCTTTATAACCCAAAGACACGTACCATCCAAGGAAGCAAAATATCGCACCATCCGACAGTGGTAAACGTTTGCGGTTTTTACTATCATCGTAGAATGGAACATACTAGTATTCCTGACAGCAGTCTCAGGCGCAGCCCTTAACTTTAGACAACCTTGATTGATTGAGATTATCGAAGTTCATTAGTACATCTGATCATAGAGTGTCATTTTCTTCTCAGACCATTGATAGCCAATGACAATCTGTGTGACTTTCCTTTTCAGACCTACCTGACAATTATAATTCAGTTTTCAGTGAACTACCAACCTTGTCAGACCCTATGTTCGGGAGTCATGCTGTCATCGCCGTCAGAACCCCGGTATCGAACCATACATCGTTCGGATATATAACCGACGTCCCTTTGCAAACAAAAGAAGGATAGACTTAGCTTGAGCTTCAAGGGATTACAAACATGTTAGAACACCTCATGGGCTTTCCCCCCGATCTTCTGCCGTTGGCCATTACTACAATTGGGATATCCTCTGCGATCAGTGTTCGGGCATCGAGGCCCACTTAGTGTATGACACATTACCAGTCAATTATTCTATTCGTTTTTGCAGTCAACAGTACGCATTCCGCGGTAACGTAAAAGCTTTGTCAGAACGACAGAGGCTGCTATCCAAAATGATTGCTGCTTCTACGTTGTGTGTGAACTACCGATCCATGGATGTAAACGGTGATGAGCCTCTGGTAGGGAAAGATGGGTACTGTAGTCGCCTTGAATGTAGCATGACTAGAAAGCTATGAAGCTTGCGGAGTGTTGGGCTTGAGCTGATATCCATATTAGGACATTTGACTACTGCAGAAAACCTGTAGTACAGTGGAATCGAGGTTCAGCTGAGCTGTCAACGCTACTATGAAAAACCCTTAAATTCTACTGCATTCATGCAACTCATGGAGAAAATGAAGGGCTATGTGAAATACCCACCCCGCTATCCCCACGCGTCCAATGCTGTAACACACAGCGTAAGAAGTGGAGTTATTCAGAACAAAGTAAGGGTACTAGTATTCAAAGGTTTACCCTATGTAAATACATGCAAGGTCAGCTGACGATCAAATGACTGAGCTATATCGTAATCGGATCCCCCGCTTGCGCTCTACATGCCAGCTGAGACGCGGGGAAGTCCGGCCAACCCCTTGATGGCTAATGTAACACAAGTGTACGCAACTGCATGGGGAAACTGAGCCCTACCGCTCTAGAGGAGCTGAGCATGCAGGCAGCATGCCCGTCCCCGGGGTACACAAGATGCAAGGGTCGGCTTTTTTTATCGTCAAGACTCCAAGTGTTTGCCCTTTAACCATGGAACATTTGATTATTCTCGTGAAGAAGGCTTACGTACCACAGACAAGAGATCTAGTCTTAGGTACGAACAGCTCAGCTACTTGCCAGAGAGGTTTCATCAAGACCCGTAGTGCATCATGCCGGGCTTGCATTCGGGTGGACGGGGTTTCTAGCCACGGTATATATACGGGAATATCTCCAAATGCAGAGTATTGTACAAACCTTGTGGCAGCTTTGATATGAATGCAGCATGAATTCATCGTTTAAGACATCATAAATGGTCACAGTAGTAATGGAAAGCCAATAAGAAGAAGGGATCACCCTCCTTGAGACCCTCGATATATGTAATGCTACTGCGACTGTAACAAACTGCAAGGCTTATGTCTCGCTGTCTCCGACGGACCACTATTCTTCATGACGTCTCTTCTGCCTACAAATCGCGCATATCATACAACTACAGCTAGCCATACGCGAAAAGATTGTAAACTTGGGCAATGTCTATCGTGGATAGACTGGGCCAGTACCATAGTCGAGAGGGAGGGATAGCTGTATAAATAGACCGCTCTCACACCTGCCAATTTTTTCGAAGTTCTACTACCTAAGCCTACTAGCAGACATCGATTGACTACCCACTTTACTCTCTATAACGGAAGACCCAACGTCCAAGACACTACAAACCGCCATCATGACCGCCATCATGAAGTATTTTCGTCGATCCCAAGCATCGGACTCAGGAGAGGAGATTTACGGCACTGTCAACACAGATGGTGATGCGAATTGGGGCAATATATCTATCACGGACGTACACGACAAGAACGGGAATGCCGTGGAAATTAAAGGAACAGATTACCTTGGAGTTGCATTCCTGTCGCCCGCTAAACTCTCAGATGACATCAGGGTCTCGACCGATCCTTGGTGCGCCTTCAGCTTTGAGAAGAGCAGTCATCCTAGCGGCGACGATTTGGAAGTCCACGTCAAGTTCACCTTTCAGCCTAGTTCGTCTGACCGCTCCGACGGGTTCAGAGTCGTGGACTTTCACTTTTCTATGGCCGGTGATCCTACAGATGAGCACTACGAGAATTCGGTGCGTCTATGGAAAAACTATCTGCCTGACGTAAGCGGCACTGTCCCAATCGCTTGTGATCCTCGACCAGATGGGATCACCGCGGACAGCCAGGCGCTGTTCTTTGAAAACGACGATGGAGTATTTATGAAAGACGTGCCATTCGGTGTGACGACTGAAGTCGATTTGAACCGGGGCACATACGAAATTACAGCCTCGGAGTTATTCACGGATGATGAAACCATCGTTGCCATTGCAAAGGTTCAGCCAGCCCAAGTGGAAGTTGAAGAGGGAAAGACAGCCCCGACTATCAATGTGACGTACGCCGTTCAACATTACAGCTCGACAGACGTTGTGATTGACAACATCTCTGGGCTCGAGGGAGAGGAAGTGCATGTCACGTTCAGCAACGCAGAAAACCCGCTCTACGACTTCTGGAGCCTGGTCCCAGGAACCACGAAACCGCGTCGCGTCCTCCCGCCAACAGGAGATGCAACAATCAGCGTAGATCCAATTATTGTGAACAACATCCAATATGACTTCACTCGAAAGGAGATTGATTTATCACGCAATACACCCATCAGCTTCACGGCTGACGATGTGAAGCAGCATGAGATTCAAGTACCGGGTGCTGTCAAGCTTCCCATCAAGCTGAAGAAGCAAGACTCAATAACCGCAGGAGCATTGACAGTGCACCTCATGGAAAAGACGTCCCGCTTTATTTACACAAACAGAGTGGATATGCAGGACGAAGCTCCCCAATTCCCAGTGCTGGTGGGGCCCGGGGACTACGAAGTGCAGGTACATCGGTTCATTGCAGATGGAGTTCTGTACAAAGTTACATCTGACCCCACTCTCACTGTCAGCGAAGATGGCAACACAGTGCTGGATTTGAGTATCGATGTTGCTGTGAATCTAAACGTCCCTGGATTCCCTAACTTCCTAAGTTTCGGTGGTTGCACCCGGGACCTCAGTAGACCTTCAACGTTCGACGAGAGTGATGACGACCTCACAAACTTTGTGCAGGCTGGCGCGTCGTCAATCTTCAAATATGCTGGCTTACGTGGTAACGGCGACCCTGATGATGATATCACAAAAGAGGAAGAATGTACACCAAAAGTCATAGAATTTGCCCGTGACATCGAAAAAGCTATTGGTACTGATCACACTGTTCTGCCAGTGCTGATATCATATACCTGCAACTTCTCCGGTGGGGAGGATGTTCTACTTTGCACTACGAAGCACAAACACAGCCTTGGAAACCTCATTCAGGCGCTACAGCTTCTCATGGACTTTGAGGAGGCCCCACGCCCTCTACGCGCCGCGTGGATCTTCAACCCCGATTTTATTGGCGAGTGCCAGAAGCGCGGCTACACGGCGGACTCCGAAGTGCGATTTCTCGATTCACTAAAAGAAGCTTTGAAGTTCCGGAATGAAGAACACATGATCGACCTTATTCCGGAAGACATCGACAACACCATTCGTGGATATGTGCGTGCACTGCACTGGCTGGTGCGGACTATGACGAAGGACCCACAAACTGGAAAACCTGCCGTTTCGCTTGGGTGGCAGGTTAATCTCTGGGCGGGAGAAAAAATCAGCGCGTTGTGGATATACAAAGACGAGAATGTGGCCCCTGAAGAAGCCAAAAAAACAGCAGACTATTTGGATGCTATTGGGGTATGGCCCAAAACAGTCCCGGAGAAGGCTGATGATGAGCTTCCCCCTGTCGACTTCTTAGCCGTCGACCGGTGGGAACGTGACGACCTCACATCAGCAAGCTATCCCGTGCACTTTTGCTTTGCCCCACGCGAATGGAGCCGATACCTCGATTTCTGTGAAGCGCTCAGCATGGAACTGCATGCCCCGGTGATGCCCTGGCAGATCTCAGCAGCCCGCACGCCCATCGTTGAGGATGATGTCAAGGAGGATTTTCCGACAGCGCAACATTGGGGCACGGGAGGTAGCTACTTTCTGGGCGATCCCAGTGTTGGCTCCGGCTACCGCAATATTCACAAGAGTATCCTGGCGTTGAAGTTGGATGCACTTTTTTACAACGCTAAATCCGTGGAAGAGCTGTTCCAGCGCTCCCAGCCATTTGACCTAACGGTCCCAGGCTATCATGATCTCCCTTTGCGGGGAATGTTTTCGGTGCTGCTTGGTGGAGGCGACACAACCGGCATTGTGAACAGTCTTCCTGCTGGCAGTGGTGAGAGACAGGCTGCCTGGGTACGGGAGAAGCTGGCCGAGTATAGCAAGAACCCCATTTACTTCCAAACTGACTGAGGAGGAACGCATAATCAAACACTACAGCTGGACTACGGATATTGTTGGCTGCTGATACTGTGGATTTTGGGTTCCTTTGTGGCAGTAACCACCTGAGCCTGGCTTAAGTGGATACTGCAAGCTGGAATGAGAAAGAAACAGAATGACAAGAGTATGATTGTTATAGGCTGATGTTCGGAAATTTTTAATTATTGCTGGCATCGGTATGTATGTACGGTATAAATCTTGTAGTCAAGAGTGGGAGTATGCTCATTTTTGCTGTGCTTTCTGTTGCATCAAGATGGCCAGTGGGATGTCCTCTTCGTCGTAAAACTCAATGTCCTCTTCCACTCCAAAGTCACGAAGTCTCTCGCCTTCGGAGTTCTTCCAGCCTTCCTCACCATCTTCGGGCTCAGAACTGTAACCTGGCGAAGATTCCCGAGATGACGCGCTCTGATTTAGTTCTTCCTGTGCCCGATCATGGAAGCGCTTACGACGTCTGATGTCTTGGCTAGCTCTCAGAGTAGCCTTCGGGCCCTCAATGGGCATTCCCCCTGCACTCTCGTAGATTGATGGAGTCCGGGGCTCAACATCGTCCATAGCTGCTCTAGCTGTAACCGGGATCCTATCTGGGTCGGGGGGTGACCAGGTAACATCAGGATCTATCCGAGGTCAGCCCGTCATCTAATATTGGGTCTTATCCACATACCTTCGAAGTCATTCACTTCGAACTCTAATCCCGTCCGACGGTCAGGTGTCCTGGCCAACGGCCAAAACCAGCTAAGAACCTATACAATAGATTAGGCCCGCAGCTCAGTCAGAACGTGATGGGAAAGTCAAACCAACATTTGCAGTTCCACCCATCCCCGCCTTGATATTGGACCAGATCCCGATATCGTATGGGAATTCTTGTTTTCTGATCCGAATCCTGACGCCACCTGGCCCGGTCAAATACCCACCGAAGTGGCGGGATCGACGAACCAGTGTTTGGTGTCTCTCAATTTCCCATTCTTCAATAGTAGTTGTATTAATGCTCATAGACCAGATGGTTCGACCGAGAAGAATCATGAGAAAGAAGACCGTGAAGCTGTTCACCACAAGGAGAACGAATAGATGGCCCATCTGTAGCGCACTAGGCCCTAAATACTAAGCAACATCTGCATCAGCTTCTGTAGACTCGTCTAGAGTAATAATCTTACGCTTGGGCGATTTCGGGAGGCCCAAATGATTGATGCTCTCTCATAGAGAAGAGTCTCAAGATAAGACATTCCCGTTACGGCGTAAAATAGAAAACGCACGAAGTGAGGGAACGTGAAGTGCGAGACACAGTTTGAGGTCCATGGGCAGTGATGGTCCATTTTGGGGATGCATCTAGAGCCAGCATCAGTATGAAGCCCACCTTTTGAATTGACATAACTAACCTTTGGCACGTCCGGCAATGGTGGGCTCTTGGCGGCTTGTATGCCTCACATTTACGGCACCATCGTTGACGACCACTAGCACGGTCGGCTTCCAGTTGCTTACTGTCTAATGGTTTCCAATCTTTGGGAATGCGACCAGGATCTACAGTGCAGGTTCGATAATAGCATATCCAGATGCACAGGGCAAAGATGTTAAGGCGCCATAATTCAGTGTCTCTCAGTGGAGCTGGCTCGAAGTACAGGAAGAAGTACTGCGAGCTGTATGCGAGGAAGCTAATTAAGATGCAAACTGATGGAATCGCCAGTTGCGACAACCGGAATGAAGAGCTAGCCATGCTGGTTGCACATCACATCTCTGAATCCATCCACTGGCAGCACGCGATGAATGATCGAGAGGGAGACAGAATGTTGTCGATGTTGACAAGCCACGTGGTGCGGCTGACTCAGCTCACGTGCTCAGCCGCCGTGTTGTGCGTGGAAATACTCCTTCACCCATCATCCTTCATCCGCATTGATCATCCAGGACAGTCTATTGCATCGTATACTCCATCTAAAGTCAGCTGTATAATATATATTTTGAAATGGTTCATCGGTTCTCTACGCCAAGGCCACTCCAATGACTGACCAATCGCTTGTATTTCGTTAAGGATGCCAATCGCAGCGCTTCCCCTAGCGGCGGTGCGGGCAATTGGCTCCGCGTCTGTTATTTCCGATCCTTGCTCCATTGTCAAGGAGCTCCTGGACAACGCCTTGGATGCCGCAGCGACTTCGGTACTTATTGAGATCTCACAAAATACACTTGACGTAATACAAGTGAAAGACAATGGCCATGGTATTCCCTCTACCGATCATCCTTTTGTCTGCAAACGCACCTTCACTAGCAAAATTCAATCCGTCGAAGATCTTCGAAGTATCGGCGGAAAGTCTCTAGGTTTTAGAGGCGAAGCACTTGCTAGTGCAGCTGAGGTATCCGGTGGCGTGACTATCACCACTAGAGTACAGCATGAGCCGGTTGGTTCTTCTATCAAATACGGCAGAAATGGAGAGCTTCTAAGGTGATTCCTACCGCCAATTGAGATAACCAAAGCTGACCGATGTAGTACCCAGCGAGCGTCACATCCGGTAGGAACTAGTGTTCGCATAACGGATTTGTTCAAACACATCCCAGTCCGGAGACAAACTACGTTAAAAAATGTGGCCAAGACGGTCGTGAGAATCAAGAAGCTCGTACAAGCATACGCTATTGCCCAACCCTCCAAACGTTTATCCTTGAAGGTCCTCAAAGCCAAGACAGAGACGAACAACTGGATGTATGCCCCAGGCAACAACACTAGCCTTGTAGATGCAGTATTGAAAGTTGTGGGCACCGAAGTTGCCTCTAGCTGTCTGGTCAAGGTCTGGCCATCTGAGAATGACAGCGACAGGCCATTTCGGATACTTGCGTTCCTTCCAAAGCCAGAATCCGGTATGTAGCTGCTCTGTGAGACCCCGAATGCGACTGACAGTGTCAGACCTTACGAAAGTGAACGGCTTGGGGCAGTATATCAGTATCGATGGCAGGCCCTTATCGACCACCCGAGGGATCGCGCAAGATATTGCGAAACTATATAAGTCTTATGTCCGCGTCGTTGCTTCCAGTAAGGAGGCAGCTATAAACATTACAGATCCGCTTCTGTGCCTTCACCTCCAGTGTACTAATGCAAGCTACGACGTCAACATTGAGCCCGCTAAAGATGATGTTCTTCTTGAAGATCGGGAAGAGCTTCTTTCTTTGGTAGAAGAGCTTTTGTGTGATGTGTACGGCGTCGAAGCAAAATCAACAGAGAAACCGAGAACTATCGATAAAGGGAAAGAGCCCGCTTCCTATCGAAACTCATTCGAATTGCTTCTTGCCCGTAAAAGTCCGGATGAATCAAGGGTTAGAAGCAGTTATGGCTCTCCCTCGCCACCACGGACTCCGGATGTAGAGGATCCAGACAGCTTCAATACTGAGAATCGTCCGGAGACGAGAATCGCGATTAGCAACCCCTGGTCAATATCTAAGCCAAGCAAGCAGATGCCGACGCGCGACAGTTCCTCATCGCGCAGTGACACTGACAAGATAGTGAGACATGAAATTGTGCGGTATCCGACTGAAAGCCGAAGAAACTCACAGGAAACACTGCAGACATGCTCTCCAGGGTCTCTCCTACCGAGTCCCTCTGCCAGCTCCACGACTGCTGCTGGCTACGTGACTGAAGCTCAGTCTTCGCCGTCTAGTCCATGGACGCCTCGAACTCCTCTTCCGAGGACAAGGCAAACCTCGATGGATCATGACAGACATCCCGGAAACGGAGCCCTTGATGGCTGGTTGGGGAAAACCCCAGCCTCCTTGTCTCAGTCAACCACAGGCGAGGTGCCCACAGGAAATGGGGACGAGCGCTCATTGCAGCAGTTGGCGCAAGAAAGATTCGGTTCACCAGAGAGGTCATCAGGCGACCCAGGGTCGACAGAGGATGGTGTTGTTACTACTCATAATCAGTCTCCCAAATTTCAGGCTAGCTCTGCAGAAGCAGAAACGGAGCATGAAGGAGCTGGTACTCCCTTGCTTGGGAGCGCTGCAGACTCCGAACTTCGGGAAAGCCACGCACCCGACCGTGGAAGGTCCTCGGCTACTCTACGTCAGCTTCTTTCTGAGAATAACCACCAAGAGCTGGGACGTGCACTCGACTTTGAGAACCGCAAGAGGGAGGCTATCCTTAAGCGCCGGGAACAACTCAAAAGCCAGCGAAACCCGAGCTCACCCCATCTAAGTCGGTATCTAGCTGCCAAAGCCGCACTCCAGAAGCACCCAGATGCTGATCGGGACGAGCCGACGAAGCCTGTGCTGGGTCCACATGACCCACGGTCGTATTTAATGCGTTACAAGGTGCAAGATCAGAACGAAGATGGCCTATCAAAGACCAGAAGGATTAACACAGAGAAGCTGCCATTAGAAAACATTCCAAATGGGTGTGAGTTGTACAGTCTGGCTCTGACCCAAGAGGCCGACATTTCGCTCATTTCAACCACATGCGACCATTTAACCAAGACAGATCTTTATACCGGATGCGGAGACCAGTGTGAAGCATTTAACCCGCCACATAAAGATACAGAAACAATGCTTGATCTCTGGAGGAATCAACTGACGAGTTTGATACAGCGCATTTACCGGACTTCAGAACGGTCGGGATTGCCGGATGTGCACTTGAATTTCTCTCGTTTAGCGCAGCGCGGGCATTCCAAGTGATTTCACTTGTTATCTTATCTTATCTTATCGGAGCCAGCTAGCTGTTCGAGTGGCCTACTGCTTTGCACCAGATTAGTCTACCAAGATACAGAATGTTATTTACACAGTACAAGGTAGCAAACACCAATGTCAATCAATTGCATCCCCGCACAACTTGAACACGAACCTAAACCTCGGCAGGACCGATCAGGGTCCCAGTCTGGCCCTGGCAGGGCGGCTCCACCAGCCCGCAAGCAGCGGACGTCATCGTCATGACGCCGTTACATAAGACTGACATCAACTGGCACCCCCTTCTATAAAACCAAATCCAATTCCTCCCAGAAGCTCGATCTCTTTCAACCTCAACCACAGCTGAGTGATCATCCCAGTCACCATGAACGTATCCGGGAGCGCTCCCTTCGGGAACGACTATATCCCGCACCCTCATCTTCACCCTCACCCGCGGCTTCACACGGCCGACATCGGGATCTTCAAATCGACCATCCTCCCCTCCTTCACTCTCCACACGACTCTCGACATCGCTGCTTTTATTGCATCCAAGGCCACTGACCGCGCCGAAATTAAAGACTGGTGCTGGCCTTCTAGCCAAGTCATCAACGCCTGGTGGAGCGCCATTGGTCACCAAGTCTACTACCACAACATCTCCCCGCAAACTGCCTGGTCGACTCTCTCTTGGACTGAAAAGGTACTCTTGACTTGTGTTACGGTCTGGGGTACTCGGCTCTTTACTCGCATCGCTTCACGGACTATCACCCGCGGCAAGGATGACCCGCGCTACGACCAGCTGAAGAAGGAAGATCCCAATGGATTCTGGACCTCGGCTCTCTTGAAGCAGTATCTCCCTGAGGCGGCTTTCCTCACCCTGATCGCCCTGCCCTTTACCGTGCCGTTCCGGCTGACTTCGTCGACATTGTCGCTGGACGGTGATGTCCAGTCTGCCGTGCGCGCACTTGGTGTCGCGCTCTTCGGTGCTGGATTCGCATTGGAAGTCATGGCCGATGCGCAGCTGGAGTTGCACCGTCAGGAACGGACCGATCTGTGCAAGCACGGCGTGTGGAGTATCGTCAGACACCCTAAGTAAGCTGCCCCTTCCCATCCCCACTTTCATACTACCTGCAGGATCTGGACTAATGAAACCAGCTACCTCGGCGACACCCTCGTGCACATCTCCTTCGCCGTCCTCAACGTCGCCAACAACTTCAACCCGATCGTCCTTCTCGGTCCCCTAACCAACTACTTCTTCCTCCGCTTCGTCGGCGGCGACCGCCAGACCGAAGCCAGCCAGGAGACGCGGTACCGCACCGAGGACCTGCACAAGTACGAGCAGCTGCAAAGCTGGCGGCGCGAGAAGAACAGCTTCTGGCCCGGTTTCACGGAGGTAGTGAACCCCTGGACCTGGGTGGTGCTTGGCGCGGGTGTGCTGGGTGTGGTCGTAGAGGAGGGTATTCGGGGATGGCTTACTCAATAATTTAATTCTCTCAGTCAGTTAGGTATATGTATGAACTATTTATGAATGAATAATACCAAAAGTCATATATATGAAGTCATCCAACCCCATAAGCAATGAGGTCAATATCCCTTCCCTCTCTTAAACCCATTCAACAATTCCTCCCCCCTCTCCAACCTCCCCACATTCTCCCTCATAATATCCAACGACCGCGGAATATATTCCCTCCCCGCCGAACTGACATGCGGACTGATCTGCACATTCGGCGCCTCCCACAACGGACTATTCTCCGGCAAGGGTTCCGGATCCGCCACATCCAGCGCCGCTCCACCCAGCACTCCCCCTTTCAGCGCTTCAATCAATGCATCCTGATCAAGGACCTTCCCCCGAGAGATATTCGTAAGGTACGGACGTGGCCGTTCCGCAGATACACCACGACTCAGGATCTCGAATTCCTCAGTCCCAAGCATACGGGTTGTTTGCGGTGTCAGCGGCAACGCGATCACGAGGTGATCTAGTCCCAGTGATAGGAATTCGTGGATAGAGGCCTTGTCCGTTCCATGGTGCCAGGATACAGGGATCGTGCCGTCGCGGTCGCCGGTGCCGGGGACGATGTAGCCGTTGTCTTTCTTGGAGGAGGGGGTCGGGCGCGGCGAGGCTGTGTAGGCATGCACTTGCATGCCTAGAGCGGAGGCGACGCGGCCAACTTTTCCATAGTTAGTGCTTTTTCTTGGAGACCAGGATACAGGGGAATTTGTAAGGGGAGAAGGAAATACTTTGTCGTCCGATACTTCCGTATCCGAGAATCCCGACTTTCCTGCCGACTTGGTCATGGACGGTGTTCATGAAGTCGATGTTTTTCGCCCAGTTGTGTTTCTGTTGGTTTTCGTGGGTGTAGACGAAGCGTCGCGAGGCGACGAGCCAGTTCATGATGGTCCATTCGGCGATTGGGGGGCCGTGGATGCCCGAGCTGGAGGTGAGAGGGATGGAGGTTTCTTTGACGATGGGGTGGGAGAGGAGGTGGTCGAGACCGGAGGAGAGGGAGTGGATGATTTTGATTCTAGATTTAAATGAATTTATATTAACTGTGTTCTATTTCTGTAGCTGAAATTTGAGGTGACAGGGGGAGGAATTACTTGGATGCATCTTCCGGCGCGGGGAGGTTGCTGAAGGTGACGAGGAGAGTGGTCTTGCGCGCGATTTCTGGTGAATTTGATTGATTAATGATGGCCACAGAGCGAGCAGGGATTCGAGAAGCAAGCACTGACCAGCTGGAATTGGCGCGAAATTGGGCAGCTGCAGGATGGAAAGTTCGGCTTCGGGGAATTTGGCCTGCGTCTCGTCGATCAGCCATTGCGGAAGATCGCGGCCGTAGGCGATGAGGAGATGCTCTTTGACGGGGGGTGCTTCGCCCATGTTGACAGTAGAAGGCATATATTGGTTTAGAAGGACGGTGAATTGGAATTGGGGATTATATTGAGGGATATCAATGGAAGCAATGGCGCCATTGAGGGGCTCTTTTGCGCTTCTTTTTATTAATGAGCGAAAGTCGGGTTACAGACGGATTAATAAGCGCGGGGAGGAGAAGCGGAGATTAAAAGAAAGAACAGAATCAGAGAAAGCGATAAGAAAGATAAAATCTTCATCTTATCATCATCCTTCTTTTCCACACCTCGGCCGGATTGAAGCTGAGGTGGCACACATCAGAGATCTATACGTAATGCAGATAATAGCTGTCGCTTCATGGGAGTTCGTCTGACTCTCACACCAAAAGTCCATCTCGGCCGCACAGCCATGACCGATCGGCGGTTCGCTTGCAGACGTCGCACTGGATAGCTGCAGTCCCAAGATTGCGCTGCATCTGACAGCCTCACATCCATGGTTCGGGCAGCCGCCGGCATCGCTTCAGCCCGCCATCCTAATGACCTGTTTTTGCGACCAGTCAGTTAGTCAAGCTGTGGAGATGCCAGACGGGATGCAGAACACGGGTTCATCGGGCGCCAAACTTTCTCTCCGACAACACAAAGAGACACAACAGCGGGTAAACCCGCTGCGAACGGACGGACAATTCTGAGCTTGTTTTCCCTGCAGGATGGTTCGTTTGCTTTGACAACCCCCATCAGCCGGACTCATGTCGCCTGTCACATCACAATCGGCACAATGACACGGCGAATCACATTGCGATCCTTCTGCTAGTTCGATCCAACACATCCACTGGCATTCAGTGCTCAGGAACGCCAGGCCCGTTCAGCTGCCCCCAAAGCTGTCCACTGCATGTCCACCATGAACGGCCCACTGCCGACAAGCCAATCGGTTCCAACTTCCACCTCTCTCATCTCACTGCTGGCCAAGGTGCACGTCCCATGTCTCGTGCCGAACTGTGTCGATCGCTGTGGGTCGAGGGTCCAGCCCGCCAGCTCTCTATCTTCAGAGTTTTGCCCGCTGAACCCTCGACGGTCTGACACCCCAATAATGGACCAATGCAGGGTGTCGTTCAGCTTCTCTCCGCTATCCATTCGCTCAGCGCGCGGCATATCCGTCCTTAGCAGCAATTGTGGCGCCCATCAAGGTGTGCTGAGCAACCTATCAAACCCTCCAACACCATGCCGGAAATGAGGAAAAGGAGCTTGGATCAAGCACCACCCCGCTACAAATAAAGGGGTTGGACCCTCTTTACGAGCAACTGAATCGCACACAATTCTCTCCGTCATTTTCACCTCATTTCTCCTCAACTCATCATGGCCGTCCCTAATCGCCGTCCCAACTTCGCTCGACGGCTTCTCCACGCCGCCTTCGACCGCGAAGAACAAGGCCTGCCTCCAATCCCACAAGGACAATCTCACCACACCAACCCACCCTATGACATCCCCATCCCGAACGGCAGCGCGAGCACCATGCCAACTCCCACTCCTCCATCCAACATTTCAACACACGGCCCCATGCCACCACTCCACCCACCCGCAAACAAACCCCCTCTCACCATCTCCACGACACAAGCCAGCTCCCTCATTCCACCCCAAGACAAGCTCCTTGTCTTCCGTGCCCTCACCGGCATCGACAGCATCCCTGCCCTCAACACCCTCCACCACTTCAGCCGCACCGCCCCCAACATCGGCATCTACACGCGCGTCGTCGAGGCCGAAAAATCTGCTGCCACGCGCTACCGCTTCTTCAGCATCCTCATCAATGTCTGTCTGGGAATCCAGATCGTTGTGGCCGCCGCCCTGACGGCCCTCGGCGCCGCTAGTGGTCCTCACTCCGCCGTGACGGCCTTTGGCGCCATCAACACCATCATGGCCGGCGTGCTGACTTACCTGAAGGGCTCGGGGCTTCCGGATCGATTGAAACACTATCAGAATGAGTGGCGGAATATTCGCGAGTATATTGAGCAGCGCGAGCGCGAGCTGTGTCTGGCTGGTTGTTCGTTGGATATCCAGGATGAGATCCAGTTCATCGAGTATATGTATGAGGGCGTGAAGAGGGAGATTGAAGCTACAAAGAGTGGAGAAAATCGATCGAATGCGAGAGAGGGACTGAATCGCCGGGCGTTTCTGCCGAGACAGGGTCAATCACAGCAACAACCTCCCCAGGGAGAGGGACACAATTACGGCTACGGCTACGGCCACCAGGGACAACAGCCGCAGGCGTACCCACAACAATACCCACAGGCACCAGCCCAGGGTCAGACACAGGCTTACCCGCATGACCCTCGGATGTCAAGTCCGGTACGGAGTCCGGAGCCTGTTATGTTGGAGAAGACTCATTAGGACACATTACGAAGGGATCACCACATATTGATTTATGGATCAGAATTTTAATGATAATGTTAATGTCTACGATAAGCAGAACACTACTATAAATTATCCAAGCGGAATTACGCGGATTGGTGGGCGGCCTAACAGACACCACTAATGCATCTTAGCTACACACTAGTCCAAGTGCCGGCTATATTCTCACCTCCCTGCCCAACCATTCATATCTTGCGGAGTAATTAGCGCGATTAGCCCAAGCAAATGACTATCTTAGCGTTTGCATATTAATCGTAATCTCCGTAAGACGGCACAGCTGGCTATTAAATCCCACCGCTGTTCCCTTTTTCTCACCTCCAGAGTGTCCTATTCTGTCCTTTGCGCCCAAAACTAATTCTACATCCCTACCAAAGAAAAACCCCACAGAAGTAAAGGATATTTAAGATCAAAATGCTCCAACAACTCCCCTGTACCCCCTCCGACGCCGACGCCCTCGCAACCCTCTACCTCCAGTGCTTCGACCAACCCGTGGACCAGCGACTCTGGCCCAACACCCCCGAGATCCACGCCTGGTGGGTAGCCAGCTTCACCCGGAAACTGACGGAGGGGGTGGATAAATACCACATCCTGAAAGTCATCGATACAGAGAAAGACGATGAGCTGGTCGGGTTTCTGGAGTGGAAGCTCCCTGCTCCTATACAGCAAGATCCTACCGTGAGCGACACTGAAAAAGAGGAGCATGCCGATGGAGAAGACCCCGAGACTCAAGAACTCCTCGCTACGTACCCATCTCACGTGGGCGATCTGGAGCTCCTCAAGGTAACGCTGGAGCATTTCAAGACTAACGTGGGGGCTATTATGGGGGAGAGGAGGTTTTATTGTATGATTTATCCTTTTTTTCCCCTTCACTTCTTGATTTTTAATGTGTGGTCCGGGATATGGATATGGCTAACTGGTTAGATCTCAACATGCTCGGCACTAAGCCCGAGTACCGACGACGGGGCGTCGCATCGCAGATGATCAAGTGGGGAACAAACCGCGCGGATGAAGAAGGTATCGAGACATTTGTGGTTTCTGCGCCTGGGGCGAGGGCCGTGTATCTGAAGCATGGGTTTGAGCTTGCGAGGGAGGGAGAGGATATGGGGGATTTTGTGCCGTGGTATATGGTTCGGAAGCCCAAGGTTGAGGCTAAGGAGGCAAAGAAGAAAGAGGGTGGGTATGTGAAGTGGTTGTTGGGGGTGTCTGCTGTGCTTGGGGTTGCGGCTATTGTTTACCAGAGGGTGCACAGAAGGGCTTTGTAGATACAAACATCGTATGCTTGCCATGACATCAACTCACGTGAATCATCACTCATTCAACATCACATGGCATCGCATCATCACCTCATATCATCGCCTCACATCACAGCCATCTAAGCAGCAGCCCGACCCTTCGTCTCAGGCACAACCATCCAAGCACCACCCATGATCACCCAAATAGCACCACAGAACCACACCGCCGCACCATCGGCAACAGTGCTCTCGAACGTCGTGATAATACTAGCAATCAACCCAAACAATCCCCAGCAGAATCCGACAACTCCCAGCCCGAAACCCCGGAAGGGTGCCGCAAACACCTCGACGGAGTACGTAACTAGCACCGCCATCGTCGCCGTCTGCAAGAACGACAGGATACATTCGAACGCGAGCAGCGCATTCCTCGACCGCGACACCGTCGCGAGAAACATGAACAAACCGGTCAGCACAGCGACAATAGATCCCGTGCGCTTGCGACCCAGTCCCTTCGCCTCAATGAGAAGACCCACCACGATCGGGCCGGGGATAGCGCACAGCGCAACGTACAGGTACCGGCTGTAGAGGTATCCAGTAGTCACGGAGGTAGCTGACACCGCCTCGACACCCTTAGTGGCGAGGTACTTGCTGATGTAGGTTTTGTGCAGAGTGAAAGTCAACCCGGCGACGGCCCAGAGGAGACAGAGAACGGGGAGGCCGATGGCTCCGGCAGAGGACAGGAGGGACTTGGTGCGCGACTGGCGACGGGACTCGGGGGCGCTGGCATCAACAGTCGAGTCAATGCGCGCAAAGGAGGACTCCTCCAGCCAGGTCTTACGGTTGCTGTAGGCGGTGATGTCCTTGACGAGCTGGGTGGCTTCGGCGTCGCGGCGCTTGGAGAGCAGATACTTGGGGGTTTCGCGCAGCGGGAAGGCAAACCGGCACAAGTACAGAAAGAGTGTCATACAGCCGAAGGTCCACCAGACGTAGCGCCAGCCCTTGTTGGAGACGTAATGGCATTGGGAGCTACTGCTGCTGCTGCTGGAGTGGTCGGCGCGGGACTGGTGGGAGAGGGCTGCACCGGTGCTGATCTCGTCGGGACCGGTGCCGCAAGTGTATTCGGCGATAAATGCCCTGTGGTTGTTAGATTGCGTGGTATGGTGTTTGGCGGTAGGTAGACTTACCATCCGACAGCTGCTGCTACCAGCTGTCCCAGTCCCCACATGGCACCCTGCATGGAGACCAGGAACTGGTGAGATGCGGGAACAGATTCGAGCAGAATCATCGCATCCACGACCTGGTTGCCAGCCACTGCAAAGCCGACAACGAAGCCAACGACACAAAGGCCGGTGAAAGAGGGCATTCCAGCACCGACGAGGCCACCCATGCCCATAAGGACCAGGGTGCTCGTGAAGATCCACTTCCGGCCCAGCATGTCGGACATCCAGGGCCAGGCGGTGGAGCCCGCGGTCAGACCGACGTACAGACTGATGAAGAGGTAGGCCTCTTTGTTGTCGTTGAAGAAGAATTGGGCTTCATTGGCACTGGAGGGGGCGATGACCGTGAAGGACATCAACCAGAACTGTACTGATCAGCAAATGTTTCTTCACTTTTGCACTGTTCATATGGAGGCATACACTATCGAGAAACCATCCCACACTGGTAATAATAAAGAGCAACCACTGATACAACCCCATACCCATATCCATCAGCGCCTGGTTCAGGAGCGCCGCCTTAGCCGCATAGACGGCATCGGTTCCAGCCACAGAAGTGGGAGTGTCAATAGTGGAGCCATAGACATTGGTATGCGGTCTGTCAGTGGGCACTTCCTTAGATTGAGGCGCCTTCTCGACATCCACCACCAAAGTAGAAGCGAAGGCACTCTGAGCCTCGATGTTTCTCTCACGAGTCATGCCATCATTGGCCGCTGCAATACGGTCTGCACCCATTTTGTCCAGGCGGATTATTCAGAGCAAGCGAACAGTGGAAAGAGAGGGGGAAGTGAAAAGCCAACAGCGGAGAACCCCGCTTTATGTAGACGCAAAGGCACTGCGGGCATGACCCGATAGCCAAGCCATCAAGCAGACTGGATCACATTTCTTATCTTCGATTGGTACGTAAAAGCTTGCCGCGGAGATATGCGGGTGGTCGTGCATCGTGAGTCACGCCCTGATGAAGTTGATATTGTCCATACTGATCACCTCTTGAAGTGGATATAACTGTACCAAGGTAGTAAAGCCTTGGCTTAGCACTATTCCTACAGCCTTATGGCCCTTTCTTAATCAGTGAGATTGTGCGCAGCCATCCTCATAAAGCGAGTCGCACGTGGGGAAGAAATTTCACCCGCCAGACCTCGGGGAAAGGCTAGACCCACCTGGATGGAGGGGATAGCGCGTCCTGTCCTTGGAAGCTTTCCGACTGTCAAATAAGAACGGTAGAACGGGGAGGAGCGGCATATGAGATGTATGCCATTGGTAATTCAAATTCTCAACCCGCCCAAGCTTCTTCAGGCGTGAGGAGTGCCGTAGCAACGCTCGGGTCGAGATCATGCCATTGCGGGCGAGACCCCACCGGTGAAGAAGTTTTTGATGTCCTTTGATGAGCGATATGGGTGGATATGGAACATACCTTATTGGGATGATTTCCATGGTCCAGGGAGCTTATCTTTGACCCGCAGTTCACGGTGCCTTTGTGATATTCAAGACAGTGGCAGCATAGCTGATGATCAAAGCATATCAATCTCAAAATTCTACCCGCTCCATTTGCTCGTTGTTCGACGAGCATTCTGTCCATGGTAGAGACAACTTTCCAGGAAAGCCATGGTCTCATCAAGGCTTCATCTCCAATCTGAATATATCCCTGTATGGCGACCAAAATATTCTGCTGCCTAGCAGGACTACACCCCTCTGCATCAGAAATATGTCAAACTCAACTCCATCATTTGAGCATCAGCAACACACGATACACCCGATTCTCCGCCATCCGGCAATTGCAAGAGGGGTAACAGGGTAACCGTCGAACCCTGCATGCGGAGTTTAAGCTGAGTCGAGAAAGTGGTAACCCCGAACTTGCAGTCGGCGGAAGTCGCCGTCGGCCGAGCATACCGAATACGGCAGGCGGAAAGCACTTATCAATCACCAACTGGTGAATCCGACGTCATTGGCTTACGGACTGACTTCATCGCCAAAAGCCATTATTAATCTCAATAACTCTCAGAAGTGATATAACGGAGCTATTACCCATGAACAAATAGACACAATCCATAATCTAGCCCTTCAAGAACTTCTACAGAAGCAAAATGACTACTCTCCCGAAGATCTTCATGTACCACTCCATCCAGTCTCACCCCAGATATACCCCACTAACAATTGACTTTCAGCACCGGCGCAACCGGCTACATCGGCGGCGACGCCCTCTACGCCATATTTGCCAAGCATTCCGAATATAAATACACCGTGCTGGTGCGCTCTCCAGAGAAAGCCGAAAAGGTCCAAGTCCAGTACCCTTCTATCCGGGTTGTCATCGGCGATCTAGATGACTCTGCCCTTTTGGAGAAGGAGAGTGCTGAAGCTGATATCGTTTTGCGTATGCCAAGCCCTACCTATTTGTCATATATATTTCATATACTAATAAGACAGACACCGCCGACGCCTCCGACCATGAAGGCGCCGCGAACGCCATCGCCAAGGGCCTAGAAAAAGGCCACAGCAAAGAAAAGCCTGGATACTGGCTTCACACTGGCGGCACGGGTATCTTGACATTCCATGACACGGATCGGAATGTGTTCGGGGAGGGTAGCGACAAGGTCTATGATGACTGGGATGGAGTGGACGAGTTGTTGAACCTGCCGGAGCATGCGTTCCATCGCAATGTGGATCGGGTGGTGTTGGAGACGGCGAAGGCGAAGGGGGATGTGGTGAAGACGGCATTGGTGTGCCCGCCTACTATTTATGGTATGTTTAGACCTTTCTTCTAAGCGGGATGCTGCTAAGGCGTGGTTCTATAGGACGAGGTCGAGGCCCCGTATCCGTGCGCGGACGACAAGTCTACGAGCTGGCCAAGGTGACACTGCAGCTCAAGAAGGCGCCACTCATCGGAGATGGCAAGTCTATATGGAATAATATCCATATCTATGATTTGAGTGAGTTGTATGTCCTGCTTGTGGAGGCGGCTGTGCATGGACGGGATGATCCTGAGCTGTGGGGGGAGAGGGCGTATTATCTTACTGAGAACGGGGAGCATGTTTGGGGTGAGTTGGCTGTGGCGACGGCATTGACGGCGACGGAGCTAGGCTTGCTTTCTAATGTCGAGAAGGAGAAGATTAGTTTGGAGGACGCGAAGAGGTATGGTGGGTATGAGGCGTTGAGTTGGGGGTTGAATTCGAGGGGACGCGCCAGGAGAGGAGCCAAGGTGCTGGGATGGACGCCGACACAGCCGAGTATTGAGGCGACGCTGCCGGAGATCTTGGAGGACGAGGTGAAGAGGATGACTACTCAGACACAGAGGGTATAGTGCGGATGCATGTGAAGGATGGAGATATAGCTAGTTATCCAATTCGATCTACACATCACGGGCACTATCCAATGAACAGCTACACCTCCACCGGCGTATCCACCCCTCTGATCAACGTCTTAATCCCTTCCCCCCTAGCCGTAGTCTCCCACGCCTCCACGGCCTCCTCAAACCCTACCACCTTAGTAATGAACCTCCTCAGCGGAATCCTCCCCTCCACAGCCATCTGCATCCCGAGCTTGTAATCCCCCGGCCCATACCGAAAACACCCCTTAACGACAACCTCCTTCGCAACCACCGTTCCAATGGGAAAATTCACATTCTTCCTCCCCAGCCCCGTCTGCATAAACGTCCCTCCAACCTTCACCACCTCTATGCCCAAGTTAATACAAGCCTCTGCCCCCGTAGCCTCAATAACAACATCGAACCCTGCCTCATCATCATCACTCCCACAAAATCCCTCCACCAACCTACTTCCATCCTCCCCTTCCCCTGACGGAACAAACCCACCCCCCCAAACCCTCTTCCCAACCACACTTTCCGCAAAGTCCAATTTCCTCTCACTCAAATCCACCCCAACCACCCTGCTAGCCCCAAACTCCCTCGCCACGGCCATACACAACACCCCGACAGTCCCCGCCCCAAAAACCACCACCCTCATCCCAGGCTTTACCCCCACCTCCCTCGCAGACCGCACCGCCACCCCCAACGGCTCCAACAGCGTCGCCTCATCCAATCTTAATGTCCCCTCCGGAATCCGGTAGCAGTAATCAGCAGGTAACTTGAAGAACCGCGTGAGGGTGCCGTGACATATGCCAGGGACCGCGGCGAACTTCATCTCCCGGCACAGATTATACCGTCCGGATTTGCAAAGATTACAGCGGTGGCATGCGTAACCGGGTTCGAGGGCTACGGGGTCACCTGGGGAGAGGGTGGTTACGGCCGGGCCGATGGCGTGGATGATGCCGGTGGATTCGTGGCCCATTGTTATCGGGTTAGAGGGGGTGATGGGGCGGTGGATGCCGCCGTGGTAGTAGAAGTGGACCTGTTTTCTTTGGTTAGGGGGTTGAGTGGGTTGGTAGAATTGGGAGATATAGGGGAGAGAGGGAGGGGTACGTCGCTGCCGCAGACGCCGGTGTAGGCAATGCGGATTATCACATCTGTTGGGGAAGTGATGGTGGGGATGGGTCGGTCTTCGTAGCGAGCGTCGTGGGCGCCGTAGAGGAGGCACGAGGGGTTGGACATATCGGTGAGGGAGATGGAGCCCATGGTTCGTAGTCTATTAATTTGTTTGATCTGTGTGATATGGAAGGTTAGGTCAAGAGAAGGGATATCAAACGAATGGCGGCAGATATTGTTGACTATTTACCCCGCGGACAGTCTGATTTAAGATGCGGGGTTTCGCCGAGAGAGTCGCCGATGGGTTGGGATCGTCATGAGACGATGTGGAGATTTCGGTTAGCCCTACAGTTACTCTAGAACACCGGGATAAGTTCTATACATATGGGGAAAGTATGTATGAAGCTAAAATATTGTCTAACGTAAATTATGTATGGAATTCCAACAGATTAATCATATCAGCTAGTATGCGCCTTGCCCGGGTTATCAGACACCGACGCCGTCACACACTCCAGGGCACTCTTCAAGTCGATATGGAACAACGGCAGGTTCACACCGGAAACCACCGCCGGCTTGCTCTCTCCACGTCGTTGCACGGCTGTCCTCTCCGACCCCTTGGCTGCCTCGTCCATCTCCCGTACACTCAGAACCTCAGCGCTCTTATCATCCCGGGTCTTGTTCTGCTTTAATTGATCGCCGACTTGCGACTCGACATCACTGGCACGCTGGTCCGAGCTATCACCAGAGTAGTCTCCCTCCGTGATGTTGAAGATCGGCTTGAGCTCAGGCACATCCGACGGCCGACCGAATCCCGCGGCAGCGAGAGCCCGCTTGGTCCATCGGTTGTTGATATGAGCAGAATGCCACTGGACTCGGTCCGGAGCGGCGTACCGGTCCAGCTGGCTCCGGACATCGATCAGGTTCTGGACCGAGGTCACGTCGACGTTGTTGACAGCAGAGAAATCAAGGATGACTGCCCGTAGCAACGGTAGTTCTGTGGAGTTATCCGTGTGTTCGGCCTTGCTTTTGCGAGGGGCGGGGTCGTTCCATGGTCGGTCGCCGGGGGTGGCATATAAGGAGGGGTTGGTACGTCGGGTGGATTCGAAGATGTGTTCGACCAGGTTGTCGGTGTAGTGGTTAGCGTTGGGGTAGTTGAAGCCTTCAGATACGCGGTAGATGAAGACGCCTGGGGCGGGCTGGGTGATCGGGATGGTCGGGTTGGAACCATCGGTATGTTTAAGGGGGAGGAAGACGGTTCGACTAGATATGCGCTTGTAATCGGAGCTGGAAAGCTGAGAGGCGGTGTTGAATTCCTTGGCTGATCCGGTCTCTTCGACAAGGTGATCGCCGATGACGGAGTGGATCTGGACATGGCCAAGGAACTGACCGCGGGCTTTGGCAACGCGGAATAGCAGGACTGCGACCGAGATACAGATTGTGCAGTAGATGCCGTCTTCGATGCTCGTGAAGATAATGACGATGATGCCGATTAGACTAATGATGGCGTCGAGAGGGGACACGCGCCAGAATTGGTAGATCACTTTAGGTGGCGTGATCAAGTCACCGACAGCGTGGATGATAACAGCAGAAAGTGATGAACTGGGAATGAAGAAGAACAGGGCGGGAAGGGCGTAAATGGCAAGCAGAACGACGATGGCGGTGATGACGCCGGCCAGCGGCGTCCGTACACCGGATTTGGCTTTGATAGCAGTGCGAGAGAACGAACCAGTGGCTGGGTAGCCACCTAGGAAGGGTCCGAGGAGGTTAGAGATGCCAATAGCGATGAACTCCTGGGAAGGATTGATGGTATAGTTATTGACGCGACCGAAGGATTTCGAAATAGCAATATGCTCGATCACCAAGACAATTACTGCTGCCGGCAGCTCATGGGCAAAGGTCTTGATGATATCAGCGTTGATCTTGGGAACGCCCGCATGCTGAAACCCATAAGGGACTTTACCCAGCATCTTGAAGGCCGGATTGTTGCGACGATGGAGATTGACTGCAGCGCTAATCATCGTATAGAACAGAATCACAAAGACCGTGCGAAGGGTATTCAAGAAAAAGAAGAGCTTCGCCTTCCGAGGGTATTTCCTAGTTCCATAATTGCATGCCGCGCGGATGGCATACAGCATGGCCAGTGCTGTCAAGCCCATGGCAGCATCCATCTGCGAGGTGGGCAGATATTTCAGGGTATTGATAATGACCATGTATGTCGATCCACGGGTAGAAAAATCGGCCGTTTCTCCCAAAACCGTCTTGACTTGTCCCGCGCACACATTGATGGCAGATCCGGTCATGAAGGCGGTAATCGCAGGAAGAGGAATGAAGTCGACGATGAATCCGAGACGGAACAGGCCAATGAAGGTCGTGATCGCACCGCAGATGATGGCAAGAGCTCCGGCGATCGTTGGGGCTGAGATGTCAGGGTAGTCCTTTTGGACTTCGATGATGATGGTACCAACTAAGGTGGACATGACGGCCACCGGCTGAACGGGTTAGCTTTTGGTCGCGACAAAAAGATGGAGTACCTACTCCGATGGTGATATCCTTTGATGTGGCAAAGAACCAGTATATTAACACGCCCATGAATGATGAATACAGCCCATATTCGGCAGGCAACTTGGCTAGGATGGCGTATGCCATGCCTTGTGGGATGACCACAGCCCCGACAGTAACACCTGAAGATGTCAGCCTCTCTCGCTTCAACAGACTGACGTAAGATATCTCACCTGCAATCAGATCACCGATGAACCACTGCAAGTTATAGCTCATGATCCAGTGAAGAAAAGGGAACAAGTCGTAGAAGTAGCGACCAATCTGTCGACGGGATGGGACGAGCTCGCGCAGCCATTCACCGGATGTTGGCTCTGTCTCGACATAATACCCAGCATTATCTGAGCCATCACGACGGTACGGGTCGGTGTTCGATTCCAGATCGATCCCGAGCACCTTCGCCAGAATATGGCCAACCTTCGTGGTCATTTTCTGTGTCAGCAGACTGAGATTTCAAGCCTGTGGCATATATCAACAGAAAATGAGATCTGGAGGGGAATAATAAATATTAAGCTTATCGCGTGAGAAGTGTAAGATATTTTATCAGAGGACAGGGGATCGATGTCGTGATTTTAGCTCCGAAATGGCAATGCAGCAGGGGGCTTGCCATGTGCCGGCCAGATGCACCTCCACGCCCATGCCGAGCGCGCATTGGCCTTTTTCGATATGACCGAACCACAGATGGAATTAAGAAACACGAGACTAAGTGTTTGCCTTCTCCTTGGTCAAGGAGAGCTGAATGACGATCGCTCGTAAGACGGTGGGTGAGCACTTTCGTGTTCGCCAGGAAGTTTTTGTCCTGGAGTGTTTCTAAGGGACTGCTGTTGTAGCGCAGTAAGCGCGACTATGGACATGCTCTGGACGCCGAGTCCGTGAACCAAGTTTTACTGCCGTGATCTCATACTATTACGAACAGAAGAGAGAAAATAAAATGGGCACGCTACAATTACCCAAGCTTTCTGCAAGCTGGCCCAATCCGTGTGTTTTTTTGCTGCGTAAAAGGACGGGATAGGGCTAGGCCAGGGTCCACCAAAGCGGAGACATCCATCATGCTATTGTTCTCCACGGTCAGAACTAAGGGAAGTGCGTGCCAATCCAATCATACCATAAGTCTGGTATGGCAGTTACGTCCACTTTCTTTTCTGCTGCCTGGTAAAGATCTACTCTAGGCCTTTACCATAGGACATGACTGGATTAAGTGGAGTAACTTGCTCCATAAGGCTGAAACAACTTGTTTTAAGCATGATATGATGGTAGTTGAGGGGCCGCGTCAGGGAAGAGTTAAGCTCAACCGTGTGTCTACATGTGGAGCTACCTCTATTGAACGAGGATTCTGATATCACCATCAAATACAATTTCATATAGAACTGTATTATGCTACATGACGCCAATATCATGGTCTTCGGCGCCATTGACCAGGTTCATCCTGGGAGGGGCGACGTGGCCGGGAAGTGGCCGAGTCCCTCCACTGCCATGGCGAATTTTTAGTCCCGAGCACGCCATCAAGCTAACCGTGGGATGCATTTTCGACCACACACAAACATCCCACTTCTCTACTCAAATCGTTGCATGCGTATGCGCCAAGGTACGCTTAATGAGCTGCTGCATCCTGCTACGAAGCCACGGATACTCTAATCGCTTGGTTATGCCGCTTTGGAGAACCAGAAGACCTCATACGATGGCCAATAGACGCAAGCACGCACGAGCATCACGAAACAAGAGAGCTACACGAAAAAAGCAAATCTTAAAGAGCACCGCGCCTTGGTTTTCCATCATGTCAAATGAACACGTAATATGGCGATGTATGTGATCGGGCAACCGGTGATCTGGTTCTTCAGATCCTGCGCCGACAGTAATACGAACCAAGATCGATACAGTAGCAGATTATTTACTATACGAGTAGTCTGAGCCACTTTGGGGTTTTTTAAGAGTGAATCTGATTCTGAAAAGTCCGTTACTTCAGTCCAACGAACTTTATTCTTGCATAAAAAGAGTGGTGCAAAGGGCCGCCCAGGGCACGAGAGCAGATATGATCTGCCATCTCCGCGTTTCTCGTGTTCATAACATGGAAGGCAAAAGTCTCAGTACACATACAGTGGGTTTCTGCTATGGAACTGCCTGAAGGGATTCTTGAAGACAAAGAAGGTACCTCTCACGGTCTGGTGTATGCAGCGGAAAGCGCTACTATTGACATCTTCCTGGAAGTGGGAAGCTACATGCACGGTTTGCCAGATAAAATACTGACCTTTATTTTTAACGTCTAATTTGATAGACCACAAATTATTCTGGAATATTGGGTATATGGTGCTCAAACGTACTCGAGTCGCTGCTGGATATTTCTTCTTGGGCAGGCAACGAGTACTCTTTGTCTCGGAACTGGCCCGATGCGGAATAGCCCAGTCCCACAATATCGTCATACCCACAATCAATTATGGCGCAAAGACGTTGAATTGTCCGTCCAGATTCTGATCATTAGCAAAAGGCTCAGTATCTAGAGGGAGGTAACATACCCAATCGACCAGATCTGCATCCATCCAGTCCCGGATATCCGTCAAATCTTCGAATAAATTTTCGAATGGGGTCTCCGAGCTCCCTGTCGGGGCATCGCCCGTCCCTGCTTGGGCTCTATAGATCACTGGTTTAGTTGGCTAGTTCGAGAATTTATCTGGGTAGCTTACTGTAAATGGCGGAGTATTCGATACGCTCGGAGACAGATATGACTTCGGCTTGAGAGATCTGCCATGCGGGCAATCAGACTTTCGATCTCCCCTCGAAAAGAGTCCAAGTTATGTTCGGTATCATCTTGGAGACACGAATTCAGGGCCACGGCCGCATGTAATGCTTTCAGACTTGTCACCCCACTGAGCAGCCAGAAATAATCTCGGAGGATAGGAGCTTCGTAAAGTTGTCTGTGAAGGGAAATCAAAGCTGTGCTGGAACTTATACATCTTTCTCTGGACATTGGAAGAAAATAAGGCACCTTGGAATGGTGAAACGGTCGGTGTAGCAGGAGGTAGAGATGATGCGCGTACGTTTGCAAGACGCACCAATATGCGTAGCGATTAGAGTCCAGAATGTTTGGAGAACCATCAACCATATAGGCCGCGTCCCACTGTTTTTGCTCGTCCGCTATCGCAGCATCGAAATTACGCAGGGCCTGTTGGTCGAGACGTGAAGGGCCCGAGGTATGGCGACAGATCTGGGTGGAAAGCCGGAACAGCCGAAGCTTAGCCATCATGACAGACATTTGTGTGGGCTCGCTACAAGACTGCTGCACAATGCCTTCGCTGGTGATATCGACATCGTTAACATCAGCAGGTAGAGGAGCTTCAATGCTGAGAAGGTATGACATATCGAAGTCCCGGAATAGCATTCCCTGATACGTGTGCAATGTCAAGAGGCCAGCCCAACAACGTCGCCGTCTTTCGGTCTCAATTGGGCCCATGTTCTTCTGCTCCACATTGCAACGCAAGGCAATGCCAATATTTAGCGCCATTCCTAGCAGGGCCCAGCCTTGATCGACGGACTCATTGTGAGAAAGGCTGTATATTACCATTAATAGAGCTTCGAACGTGCTGAAGGTGTGCCGGATCAAGAAGTCACCCTGCAGGAGACAGGTTATTGCAGTCCGGAGCAGGCGGCGAGACACAGAAACCGTGACAGGAACCGTGCTTGCACCTTGGGTAACACTCGAAGGTAGTTGAGACCAGACGCACGCTAGCCTGGGGTCACTTTCATCTAGAGTGTTCAGAGACAAAGAACATAACGCGAAAAGCAAAGCCAGCCAAGGTAAGTCGACGTCATGAGGCCGTTGCATGAACGCTGTATACTGTTTCTGAAAAGTTGGGCCATGCAGAATGGGAAACAAGGCGGATATATGTTTAAAGAAGTGTGAGACCAGATAGTCGCAACAAGACTTCGGCGGAAGCGAGTCAATCATTTCGTGGAGAGAGATGCGAGGGCCGATTGAGAGGGGTGATAGCGTGTCATTAACATCCTCCTCTGGAACAGGCCTTTCAAGCACAGTTTCCCAGTGTACACCCGGAGGTGATTTGTCTAATTCTGATGTAGGCTGTTCGGGTCGTAGGGCTGAAGAGAAGACACCTTTTCGTCTAGGCGTAGACGGAGATCCTGCCCCACCATTCAAGGCAGATGACGCCGAAGTAGTTACAGGCTGCCTGTGAGTTTTTCTTGATACAGATGGGCCAGACAGGGATTCGTAGGAGCAACTAGACTCGCGCTTGCGACGCTTGCACGCACCACAAGGGTGTTGGCGATCGCATCGCAACTTAGAGCGTCGGCATTCCTCGCAATTGACAGCTTTGCGCTTTCGCCGAAGAAATCCGGGGACTTGCTGGATGGCATCGTTGTGGGCCAAGTTATTGCCTAACATTTTCTCCGTAAGAAACCAGGACAAACAAGAGGCATAGTTAATTTTTTGGATAAAAGTCCGAGACGGAAATTCTTGGTCCGAGATGGCATTCATTGAATCATCAATCATTGCCGTAAAGAAGATCGGATTTTGATGGCGGAGAAGATCGGAGAAAGAAGTTCCCGATATTTCACGGAAGAGATGAACTTATATGCGGCCACCTTCCCCATAGAACCGAGCAGATCAGATCAACTCTTCCATTCCGCCCATGTTAAAGGATTGTGTAAGTTTGGGTATATCCGTAAGGCTTAATGGAGCGCATATTGACCAGTTCATGGCTTCATATTGCCCATTTCGTCCAGGTCACATGATTGTGTAAAATTACCAATACCGGAGAATACTAACGATGCCATATAGCTCACTATATGTATGGCTTTCTGGCGAAGAAAGCCGAAGAGTGAGCAAATTCCCAGCGTTGGCGTACGGAGCAGGTTTACGTGTGTCGCTGAACCGGATGCTTATGAACACTTTCGACCGTTTTGTTGTGATGGTTTCCATAAGTTGATCCACTCAAGTCCGATTGATCGGAGATAGAGCGGATCGGAGGTGTTATGACTATAAAAGTTTTGTTGGAGTCGTTATCTTCTTTGGAAATCCTTCACCATCTTACTAGCCCGTATTCTTCTATCCCTTCTGTCACGCAGGAGCTACCGGCAATGGAGGCATATCTTCAGTACCAACGGATTCGGAAATCCGTACAACAGCACTTGGCAGAGCTGAAAGATAATTGCAGCTGTCCGAGCTACCCCATCGGCGCTCATCATGGCCCCAAGTAAGTCTAGGAGAGAATATAATCAGGCTTGCAAGTGTTTAACAGAAGACTATATAGCTGCAAACTGAGCAGCTATTGCAGTACCCAGGAGAAAATACCTACCGAATCGATGGCCCCTGACGCTGCGATTCTTGTAGACTGGGACGGACAAGATGATCCTTTGAACCCCGCAAATCAGAGCACATCGCGGAAGCTCTTTATGACCTTCTTGGTCTCATTGATTGCAGTGGCCGTAACTGCTGCATCGGCGATCGATGCTTGTGGAGTCAAGGAGTATAGCCAATACTTCCACGTATCGGAAGTTGTTGGGTCTCTAGCGACAGGTATGGCGTCTTCTCTCTGGATCTATCATAGCAAAGAGCTGAACTCCTCATGTCTCTGAATAGGTCTGTTCCTTATCGGATTTGCATTTGGTTCCCTTCTCTCGGGCCCTTTCTCAGAAACCTTCGGGCGTAATGCCATATATTCAACAACAATGCTCCTCTTCTTAGTCTTCGTCATGGCATCAGGACTAGCCCCAAACCTCCACAGTCACCTTATCTTTCGTTTCTTTGCCGGCCTCTTTGCTTCCACTCCGCTAACCTGCGCCGGTGGTACGGTTGCCGACTTATGGAACCCTCTAGAAAAGACCTATGCTTTTCCAGTTTACGCTATACCTGCATTTATCGGGCCCATGATCGGCCAAATAATGGGAAGCTACATTCCAGTCACGCTAGGCTGGCGCTGGCTTGAGTGGATAATGCTTATCATGGGCGGGGTAGTTCTGACTCTGGTCCTGCTATTTCAACCCGAGACATATGGCAACCTAGTTCTCTACTGGAAGGCTTCCATCCTTCGAAAAGAGACCGGTGATGAGAGATACAGGGCTCCCATGGAGATCAATCAGAAGGGCCTGGGCCAGCGCTTGAGGATCTCCGTGTATCGGCCATTTGCGATGTTCTATTCGGAGCTAATCATCATCTTGATGTCGCTATATCTGACCATTATTTATATCGTCCTCTTCACTTTTCTCGAGGGGTATGCCTACATCTTTGGCGACACATATGGCCTCTCCGAAGGACTGACCAACCTTTGCTGGGCTGGGATGCTTGTTGGGACTTTGCTGGTTAGCGGCGTGGTGCCGGTAGTTTACAGCTGGACTTCGAAGGCGTATGCTCGAGATAAGTTCACTATTGCTCCTGAGATGAGACTCTGGTATACTATGCTTGGTGGTGCAGTGGCAGTGCCGATCAGTCTGTTCTGGATGGGTTGGACAAGCAATGTAAGTCTATACGGAAACCCTCACAGGTTTTGCAGGCGCTAAGATTCTCTCTTTCTACAGCCAAAAATCTCAATCTGGTCTCCTCTCGTCGCGTCAGTCTTTTTCGGCTATGGTATAACCACCATCTTCATTGTTGCATACATGTATCTCATTGATTCCTACGATACATATTCGGCCTCTGCATTAGGATTTCTCGTGTTCACGCGATATGTGGTTGCGGGAGGTGTAACTGTTGCGGGTGGCCCCATTTACGAGGCGCTCGGCGTGCAGTATACCCTGACTATTCTGGGGTCTATCAGTGCAGTTATGGCATTGGTACCTTATCTGCTTTATTTATATGGGCCAATGATCCGCAAGAAGAGTAAATATGCGGTGAATATTGACACCGAGTGAAGACCTGAAAAGTGTGACTAAAAGGAGTCTAGATTTCGATTTATCGGAGTGTTCCAAATTGACTTGGCTTGCAAAGTCTAGCGTATTAGAGACATGAAACAATTTCTAGAGCTGAAAGAGTTCTTTTTCTATGTTATCTACGAGGGAAGAGAAATATAAATAAGATAGATATAATCACAACCATTGAGCAGGCACGAAAGAAGATGACTGGTACAGATTCTTGGAATGCTGTAACACAACTGTCTCGATGAAAACAAGACATCGGCTGCGACCTAGGTCTTCGACAAGAAATTGAAGATCAGGAAGCATTCGAGTAAATCAACACAGCGTTTCTGACGACCTTCATACAATGAAGAACCCAAGAAAAGATTGACAAATATCAAGAATTGTACAGGAACGAGCTTCGCTGTGGTACCTCGTTGTAGGCTTCAGACAGATAAGTGAGCTGCTTGACATCGGAGGTATTATCGGGCCCTCGGGGCGGCAGCTCTTGACATAGAAAGACAAAATGCTACGCCCTTGAAGCCCAGAAATATCTCCTCTCCACTCACACTCATCTCCCAGCAGGTCCACGAATGAGTGAGCGGACCTCTTAAGACGAAGTCACACATTGATGGTACCAAGGGTTCTGCTCCACACAGGTGCAAGGCGACTCACACTCGGTTGGGCCAGCATAGTTGAGGCCTCCGCATTGGCCCCAGTGCGAAACAAGATTCCCCGAGCTAGCGGCCGTCGAAGAAGTGCTGCTGCTGGCAGGGGTCTGAACATAGGCGTGCGCAACAGCGGTAGTTGTACCCGGGCTTGCGACGGATGCACTACTGACCGAAGGGGAGGCAGCAGATGAGCTTCCCGAGCCATGTCCACTCCACACATCATCACCAATTGGCGTCTCCAGGATATCCGTCTCTATCTTCTCGGCTGAGTCGACCCACAGATTGAGGCCATTGAACAGGGTCATGTTGTCGTTGTAGAGACCAGGGATTTTGTACGTCAGACTCGGAGATCCGGTTCCCGAGCCTGTAACCTTGACTTGCGCACAGCTAGAATCTTGGTATCAGTATTGTTGCTCCTTGAATGTCATAAATTTAGGAGCAGTTGTCTCACCTGTAGAAGAATTCAGCCTCGTTGGCCTGAGCGCCGTGCAAGCCCACATGCTCGGCGCGCACCAGGTACTCGCCCGCCGGGGTCTCAGCAGGGATTTGGAACTCGAATTGAGACATGCCCCAGGTGCACCAGGCGTCCTTGGTCAAGTCGGCATTCTCGTCGCAAAGAGTTTTTTCCCAGATTTTGAACCATTCCCCGTCGCCTTCGTATTCCTGAACATTGCCGGTGGGTGCCTTGGACATAACTGCGGTTCGAGAAAGCAGGATGATTAGAAGATGAGTTACTATGACAGGGGGTGAGGGGGTGACTCTTACAAACTTGACCCGGACCAGGATGCGCAATACTGGTGTCGTAGAAGAGCTTCATCCCGATGGTATCGCCCGCGGCGACCTCAGCGACCTCGGTCTTTGCAGCATTGCTGAACGAGCCCAGGTTGCAGCGGAAGTCGTTATCATTGGGTGTCAGATTGTCAAAAGTGCTAGTGAACTTGGTCGGCTCGTAGACTACACTGCGAGTAGTCTCACGAATGTACTGCCAATCCGCAGAAGCCTCTCCGTTCAGCACGAGCTTGCTGAAGATATAATGGGCGGAAGCCGTAGGTGCCAGGCTGGCAGTGGCTGCAACGACGAGAGGGAGATACTTCATTGTCTTTGGCCGATGATCGAGAGTAATTTAGAAAATGAAGAGAGAGAATGAGAATTCAATGAATCGAAGTTGAAAGAGTGACGAGAGCCTGACACCTGGTCAGATTGAATCCAGCTCGAGAAAGAGAAGTCAAAAGTAAGGAACGATATCTTGTACAGTTCATCTACCAGACGAAGAGGATAATTGAGGGTTATATATGGATGTGCCAAGCACGGCGCGGCTTAATTCTGTCTTCGAATGTCCACAGCTTGAACTCCTGTTGCCATAGTCCTTCAACTCCTAGCACGGCGCCGTAGCGGGCTTGCCCGAAACAATCTGTCTCACCATCTCCCTAGACGGTGTCCAGTACACGTCCATATACCTGGCTGAATTTCGGTTATACTCTGCTGGGCATGCAGTATCCCTGGCATGCTACAGTCCAATACAAGATTGAACTCATAGTGTGCTTAGTAGTACTCTGTAAGGGCAAGTGTCTTCTGTTCACGAGTCCTGCCGTCGGACAGCTTCACACTCGCGTAGGCATTCTCGATGAATCCGTCATTAACACTTCGTCCTGGCCATTTGGCACCCAGTTGGCCTGTAGTAGCTGTATCTCCTGGTGTATGTGACGCCATGTTTGCGAGCAGTTGGCGGCATAAATTGAAGGAAAACGGCCACGAGCCCAGCCGTCCAATCACATCGACGGATCCTCGCGATGAGGAGAAGATCAGTACATAGCGGTACAGATTGATTCCACATTTGATTTGCTCGAAACCGCCAGTGTTGCTAATGGTGCAGTGCGCGCCTCGGTGACACTGATATGGGACTTGGCTCGGTACTTATCGCCCGTCAAACACCCGTGGCTGTACAAGCCAAAAGTGCGGAATCCGTTCCGCATGTTCGAGGCCCTGAACCCTTACAAGTGGGACAACATGATCCAGCCTTTCTGTCGGCGTAAAGCGCCCAGAAAACTCTTGGACCAAGTCTCTTGAACTTACGCTGCCTTGGAACCTGTTCTTCCACTATATCTCGAAGGGGCGCTCAGACAAAGTCATGTTGTGCTGCTAAGTGGAGTTGACCATCCTGAACTGGTCTCTCAGCTGGGCTGCAACCTACAATTTAGCCATAAATGTGAAAGCCACCCATGGCGCTACTGTCATTCTCAGAATTGCTATCTGTGGCATAGTAAGCTGCAGGGCTAATGAAGCCGCGGAACTAAAAAGCCGCGGGACGAAAGCTCCCGGTTGGAAGTGGAGTCAGTGGCCACTCAGATCCAGGGCAATGTGTAGTCGCCGATGACACATCGGAAACGTTGTTACCAAGCATCACGTACTTCTCATGTGATTGGCCTTTTTGTTAGCTGTTCCACCGGGGGTTCTTAGGCAGTTCTAATTTTGGTGGCCGGGTAGGGCCATTATGACTTGAAACACACCGATTGCCTAGAATCAGAATCGTCAGTCGTTCACCTGGTGAGCTCAGACAATCAAGCCCTGGATGTACTCTGCAGGATGCCTGCCAAGTCTGCTCCAACCAATAAGTGGGTTCTAATTTGTGATAACAATGGTTCACAAGCGAACGGGTCCGATTCCTGCAGAAGTACTAGGTCGTGTGTATGATAAGTATCTCACTACATCGTGCGTGGTAAGCTTCGGTAGTTGCTTGAACAAGTCTCCCGTCTCCAACCCTAAGCACCTTGTGCTGTGAGTTGGCAGTTCATACTTTGAACATAGGTACAATTATTCTCTTCCTGGTCGAACCTATCTCATAGTCTGTTTCTTTCCTTTCTATTCTCTGTGCGCTTCTCTTGCAGAAAGGAGTTAGAATGAGTTTATCTATTCGCGAAAGGGCTGAGATATAACGTAATTCTTGTTCAGTGTTCAGAAGGGGTATAAATTGTTGGAGGTTAATTTTAAAAAAAATCAGGATAGAGGCCAGGGTATCTAGACCAAAGGTACAGGCTACCACGGAATATTTTCTCTGCGACGTAGGGAGCCACAAGGTCGTGTTCCACATGGAAGCCATTTCGTACAATCTAGCCCTTTTTTTTTTCTTTTGCTGCCATCCATATTAATGGAGCACACACTTCGATATGGGCTGAAGAATGTTTCTAGCCCCCTTTGTTCCTACTTCCGCATTCCTGTAGGTTCGGATATTTCTGAGGAGTTTTTGGGAATGCTTCAAGGGTTTTCACCCAAGTGGGTCCAATTGACCCACCTCATTACCTTAACTCACGGACTGCTATCAACTTACTAGACCAAAAGAGACATATTCCCGTGGGATGGTGCTATGTCTCGGTAAAGACGTTAGCCGTAAGCAGAGCAGCCATGAATGGTCGCACTGCTTACCGATTAGGTTACGGAGTATAATTCCGCAGTAAGCAATAGTGATGGCAGGTGTGAGGGCTTAGAAGGTATTTTGACACGTGTGTGATGATAACAATCTATCTATGAAGACTCGGCCATTCGAAGTCGCAATTTGAGATTCAACTTCATCTTAATCCACAGTATCACCGGTACATCATTCGAGCCAGTATTAGCTACTGGTTACATGGGCGGAGCTGGCCACGAACCGCACAGACTTACTCAATCGATTAAAGGTGCACTTAGATAAAACAAGTCCTATTAATGAATGAGGATGAAGCAAGAAGCAAGAAACCGGTTTAAATGATCATATAGAACAAAGGGCGTACCCGCAAGGGTCACGATCGTGGGACCATCGAGCCCACTCAGGACCAACGGCTTTGCCATCGGACACCATACCAATGCAGTGAGTACGATACTATTGGCCATATACGTACCAGATATACTAAGCAGGTGATTAAATTAATCTCAACACCAAAAGCTGTTCGAAGCGACGGTTAAAGTGATATTCAGGCAGTCAAGATTACAAACTCCTAGCATGTATATCAATAGTTTGTGAGTTTCCATGTGACGTTTGAGGCATTTCCTACGAAATAGGTGGCCTGGGGGCTAAATCAATTTTAATCACATGTAGTTATGTTGCGCGCAGGTGAAAGAAATTAGCCAGGTAGATAGACAGCGGGATTCCTCCGAACCCTTAATGTCGCTTAGGTTGTTTCATAGTGCTAAAATTGTAGCCTAAAGGGATAAACTGCCTGAGGAATATACAGGTTGAAAGATCGGGTCTTTGCACATCCTTCCCCTTTTCGTCGACAGACGAAGCATATAAAGGTGAGTGTCTGGTAAACAACCGTTCCTATCTCAACACCCTCATCTTTCAAGTCACAGTTGTACCCTTCTACTTGGATATATTCTTTCTTATCATCATCATGGTGTCTTTCCTTCGCCAAGCACGCCTGGCCGTGCCAATTCTGTCAGCTTTTGCGTGCATGCTTGCGGCAAGTTCCGCAATCCCCCCACCACCGCGTGGAGCTCTTTCACCGGAACGTCTTCAATGGATTAGAGAGGTGATCGGCAATCAGACTGAGAACGACAGCGTTTCGGACCTTGCTAAGCGGAGCACTATCCTGCATACCAGCCAAGACGGAGTTGACAGCGCCGGATTCTACTACTCAGTATACAATGACAACGGGGCCGATGTTGGATACACCGAATACCCCACCCGGCCAGTTCGAACTTGGCTGGAGCACTGAGACGGAATTCCTCGGTGGAAAGGGCTTCAAGGGCGGCAACCCACGGTAAGTAGCCCTTCACCAGGCAGAGACCAAGAAGGCTGACAATTTTCCGGCTCAGCTCCTTGACCTGGGACGGTTATTTCACCGCCGAAGGGGACTGGACTTTGGCCATTTATGGCTGGACCACGAACCCCGTCACCGAGTGGTATATTGTGGAGTCGCATGGAAGTGGAACCCCAGGCAACGGGAACATCCTCGGCCAGGTTGATAGTGATGGCGGCGTCTACGATGTCTATAATCTCCCCTATAGAAATGTTCCGGAGATCTACGGTGTCACCAACTTCGACCAGCACTGGTCGGTGCGTCGCTCCCACCGCTCTACCGGCACCGTCGACGTGAGCGCCCATTTCCAGCGCTGGAAGGAATTGGGTCTCAACCCTGGCTCCCCAGTCTTCCAGATGGTTACCCTGGAAGGCTTTTCCGGCCAGGGGTACCTGGACTTCACCGTCAGTGCATAGAAAGGTTCAGGGACCTCGTGGTCTCAGCTGGCGGCGAGCACTTACTTGAGGCCAGATCCCCTCCACGTGTATCTTTTTTTTTAGGGCAAAGAATGGTGACTTCGGTTCAAGAAACAGAAGCCCCCATTTCCCTTCCTTTTTGTTTCTTCTTCTCTTAGAGCCTGCTCTATAACATCTTCTTCGCTTCTTTTTCAGTTACCAATTTATTTTTTGACCTTCAAAGATATTTACTATCGAACTAATTTGTTTATCAACTTCATCTGTTATAATATATTTCGAATCTAAATGAAGATCGTAATGCCAATGTGTCATGTACAAGGTAATCTCGGCAGCACAGATGTTTTTGATTATTGATGTTGTGATATTTTACTGCTTTAGCCCTGAAATGCTTTTCTCCGGGAAGAATCTCGTAATGGACCTAGAACGCGGCAGACCAGGGGTCTAGGGACCTAGAGCCCGCTTGATAAAATGTAGTCTTCCGATCCAATAAGCAATCTCTGTTAAAGCTTACTTATCTGCTAAATTCATAACTAGTTACAGCTATTTAGAAATATAGATTTTATAATTATAAAAACAGTAAGATAGCAAGCTTCCATAAGAAGGGATCATAGTTGCTCTGGATTGAATTTGCCAGTAAATAAAATGGCATAACGACCGCGGTACACTTGATGGGTTCTCATAAAAGATCAAAGGTAAGTTTGACTTAAATTCATATACTGATCGCTGCCCCTTTATCTTGTACTGTTGTTTAACTGTTTAGGCGGGTTTGACGGTAAAACTATGATCCGACTCACTAATGAATAGCCATTGGCCGGATCCCCGCTTCGCGCTCGAAAGATATCTGGACATTCCACACTCGAGATTTTGCCGCGTCTGAACGAACTACGGCTTTCTAATGCGCCGGACGTGTCTTTTCCTGCGCACAAGTCTAAATCGCCATAATCTTGAGTGATGATACCCAAGCATCGTATTGGTGTTTTCTCTGTATTACTTTAGGCGCCACCAGAAACCTCCACAGCAATCTAGAAAGACTCTTGAGGAGATGTCCCGATCTCTTGGGATGTTGTACGCTGGATCTCAACAGCTTCTCAAATTTACATACTGATTGATGATCTTAGTGCCCTGAGTGCCGGAATGGTACATATAAATGTGGGAGCCGACGAGACTCCATTTGATGTTCACGTGGAGTTGTTGTGTAGTTGCTCTCCATACTTCGACTCAATATACGGCGATCGTACTAAGAAGCCCATCCCAAGCGACCCTGTCTGCTTTCCGGATGAGGATCCAGTTGTCTTTGCCGAGCTGTTAGCTTGGATGTATTATGGTGACACTCCTATCGACTTGCCTTCTCGTACTAGCATTCACTTCTTGCTACAACTTTGGATCCTTGCTGGAACCTTCGAGATTGCCCGACTGCAGAATCAGGTGATACACCTCAGTAGAACTGAGATTGCCAAAGTCCCTGGCCGAACTTTCAGTTGTGATGATATCGATTACGTCTACAACCATACATTGCCTCGGTCTCCGTTGCGTTTACTTCTGGTTGATAATTGGGCAGGGAATGCAACCCAAGAGCACCTCACGAGTTGTCAGAAGAGTCTTCCATATCCATTTCTCGAAGAGCTTTGCCGTGCTCTCATTGAAAGGAAAGGAATTGTAAAAAATGCGGAAGGAGAAATTCATTCTGTTGAACGCTACAATATTCACCCTCCGCCACCGGAAGACCAGAACGGTAGACTGATGCCTCGAGAACGTGTTTCAGAATTTCCCCGGACTGCACCCCCAGAAAAATTGAGAAACAGGAAGATTGCACGCCCCTCTCCCCGTCTTAACAAAGCTTCTCTTACATCGCCGTTACGCGCCATGACACCCAACTCCGTTGAGGAGAATGATCCAAAGAGTGAGGTGTCCTCTCAAATGAGTCATTTGCAAATCTGATCTTCTATTCCCACTCCATTAGCTACTAAATCTTCTCTCGCAACACTGAGCGAAGACGTTCCCCCTTACTTTGTTTCATCTTCCATCATGTCCGTGGTCTATTTCTTCCATTTTTATTAACGCTATGAGTATTGCTGCAATTCTCGCTGATATATTCTAATGTTTTCTAAATTGAGATATCTAACCTCGAGGGTTATGAATAATATGTTTTACATCTAACATATGATGCGTTGGGCGCGGCTGCTCCGTAGTGAACCGGGCAGAGGGTTAGCCGCTGAGGTGGCGATGCATTTAGTATATTTGGAGTTCGGCCACAAATACATGATACCTTGTTAGTTGGCATAGACCCGACACCATATCACGTCAAATGAAACAAGCTAAATGATCAGGGACCAATGAATTACATGTATGAGAGAGCGTTGCAAATTCCAAAGGTTGGCTTTCCAAGCCAGAAACACTGAACAACTCATAACCGCGTTCGGCTAACCAGGCATGTCAATACCGGACTGGATGTCAGGCATTTAGTGGCACGTAGGGTTGCCGAGAGATAAAATCTATTTTTTTCTGGGGAGAATTCGATAGACTCGTAGGGAACTTTCCAGGTGGTCATCAACTTATCTGGATGGCCTGTTCCGTAGTGCCGAATGATGAATTTTCTCTGGAAGACTTTGGCGCTTAGAACTTACGAATGCACATACACTATCCTCTAGCAGTAGCTCGCAAACCTCCCTATAATACAGAGCCATCTAGCGATAGGAATTACATTGACATAATAGCAGGTGCCTGCACGAGCGTGGCGGGATGCTCACTGCCTACTCTTGGTTCCGTATGCTCATGATATACTACTTGCAAAATCATTCTGCGACCAGCCTGGAAGGACCACGCTGAGGATAGAAAGCCATTATTTTATACAATGAATGACTGAGAGCAATCATTAGACCTCAATTCCCGGACTCAATAAGGCCCTCCTTGAGCACAAAACAAAAGGCCAAAGAGACTCGGAGAGTAGCAAATCACCTTGGCCTTTGAGGGGGCGGCTTTACTTGAATCGGGTAAGGAAGGTTCACCCAGCGGGTAATCCCCATAAAGTGGATCATGCTAGTACGAATTTACGAACTTACGATCAATTAGAGGTCTTAGATATCTTGACTTGAAGTTTCGAGATCCCAGCCCCAATAATATTAGGCTCCTTGGCATTAGCAAATATATCCGTTCCATGTCCGTCTAACCTCGGATTCCGAATAGAATTCCAAGGGGCCTCGAGTGGATGATCTCATTTCCATTGTGGCTCTGAGGAATGGTATCTTAATGGATGCTAAAGGATATACCAATACTCTGGTTGAGCTCTGATAGTCTGGTAGTTTCGGCGAGGTGATGCAGGAGTTCGCATTTTGAAACAGGTGGATTTTCAGCAATCCCATCTCCTTGATACGGCCATGTGTTGGATTCGAAAAGAAGCCGCAAACGTGTATGAATCGGTGAATTTCACTGATTCCTAGTATCTTCAAGCACACCTTCCATTTCCGAATTATATCTACTCATGAAATCAGGTATGTTGTTTTGTATCGAAATGTCTTTCCATCTTGCACTTCAAGTGTTCCGTTCAAAGGGCTAGGAAGAACAACAGTATCAGTATCTCTAGTGCCAACGGGGGCACGAAGAGCAATATTGAATGTCCGCTGCAGTCAAAAGACCAATCAACCATGATGTTGCCGTGAGGGGTAGAATATTCTCCCGGTGCCCAGGCCAGACCCAAAGTCTGAGTTGCGACTTTCCACTCCCTAAAACCAGGAGTGACGGGCTGAATACCGAGAACATGACGGCTCAGATCAGCGGTGGGCCCTGCGCTCCAGGCATGGCACAACGAGGTTACGGACCCGAGGCCGGGAGTACCATCAGGACTCATGACCCCACATACAGCCAGTGTAGTTGGCATGTTTTGGGTCACTCATCGGGCCCCAGACGCTGTGAAAAAGTCTTTTGGCATTAACGGCATTGTTCGCGTGGGAGGCTCCCTGAAGGTGGTAGCTGGAGGTTTAGGGGCTGATCAGCTGGGCGAAACCACTGGCGATGCTGGCGTTGAAGAAGGCAAGGGCTTTGGAGATAGACAACTGCTGAGCCATGGTAGACAACAATGTGACAGTGCGGTTGCCAGTAAGGTGTGTAGTGTCGCTCAGGATGGCTAGGGTATTAGCTTCCTGCGAGAAGAAGTCTTGGTAGGCTTCAGAGTGGTAGTAGGCCTTGAGTTCATCACTCCACAAATGATCATTGATTGCTTTTTGTAGGTTTTCCAACCGCCTCTGATACACAGTGGCATTAATACTTGCCTGCGACAGATACGGGATCCATTTTTTCAGCGAGTAGGCGTATAAGATGTTGAATTGGGTGACAATCCCGGACGGGGTAGGATCAGAGTAGTCCCATCCCCCACCAAGGCCGGGATCGGTGATGTTGAGCAAGTGATTTGGTAGGGTTTGAGAGTGCGCCCAATCAAGCATGCGCACTGCTTTCGGAGCCCAGCGATGCAGAAACACTTCATCTCCTGTCTGCTCGTAAAGCTTGGCCATTGCACTCAGCAGATTGAACGAGTATCCAATTAGACCGGTCGTGTTTGCCTGAACATCTTTGGTTCGAGGGGGCTGCTGAATCTTTGCATTCGGGATAAAGACGCCCGGCGTCAGCTGGTAAGAGCCGAGAAATCTGGAATGCTGTTAGCTGGAATCTTGGTGAGTTGCAATGTTCGAGCTCCCGCATGCCGAATCCGAGTCAGCACTTCGTCAGAACAGTTGAACGAGCCCAGAAGATCAGCCAAAAGGGGTATTAGAGACGGTCGGTTTGAATCCAACTAGAGATATATGGATTTCTCCCGCACTAGACAGATCCAACCTCTGGTAGCGCAGTCCACCTTGAACAAGCCTATTGGTGAGGTCTTCTTTTCCGTGATGTTGTATCGATTCAGCCGAGACGTGTCCGAGATTCGGATATCAATAATCGCAATTCGTGGTAAGCAAGAGAAAAGACTGAACGCACCATGGCAGATGCCAGCAACGCATAAGTTTCGCTATAGGCCATTTCAAACCCGGAAGTTGTCTCCGGACATATGTGAAATCTGGAAGGTGGCATATCCTTCGACATCTCGTCCATAGTCGAGGATTACTATGGCGGGGGTCACCCCGTCAAAGGAGAGATTGAGCACTGTGCCATTTTATACGCAACTTAATCATTCTGCGAGGCATTGGCATAGGTATCAGGTCGATAGAAGGTAGAATAGCTTCCAAGGGCAAAGAGAAATACCAAGGCGGATCAAAGCATGAGCGAGTTTCATAATGGTTCGGATTTCCCGCAAGAACCTTTCAAGGTTTAGTCCGATATTTATCGGTGAACATGGAACAAGCTGTTGCGGATGTTCTGGGAGCGACGCTGTTTTATATCCGAGATCTATGTAATATCACGTCAATGAAGCCCCTTTCTCCCTCTACAAAACGAATTTACGAGTGTATGTACAATGCGGCATACGAGGCTGCCTGCAAAGCTTGGCATCTCCCTCAAATCCATGGTTCGTAGGTGCCAGTCAAGCCCAGCCGTTGAATAATGTGCAATACCTATCAAGGTAGCTCTCAGGGATTCCACGTGGAGAGGCAAATTAACCTTGCTAAAATCCTCATGTTGACCCGCCGTAAAGCCCGATGGCCCACCCACAACTGCCTGGCATTGGACGCGGTTGACATACTAGACCGCAGCAAATACGAATGTACGAGATTGCTACTTCCTGCCACCAATCAGAAATCCCGTGGCAGTGCCATGTAAACCTTTAAGCACATCGCCTCATCCAGTGGATCACGACTCTACATTTAGTGAACTGGTATAAAAAGAGTCCTGACTTGACAGTAGTCGCTGGGACATGTCATCCTGTCTGTAGTAGTCATCTAATTAAATTATTAACCACCACCATGGGGGTACTACTAGTCACGAATGCACACAACAAGTGATATAAACCAACCAAGACACGGCGTCTGCGCCATCCCAGCCATAAAATATACCATGCAAATATCAAACACAATCAACAGGCTTGTCATGACATCGTAAAGGTAGACCATCAGCTCCTACAGTGGTCTGCCCAGCATCCGGAGACGCTCCCTCAATGCATCCGCCTCGCGGTCCTCTTCAGCTTCTGACCTTCTTTCTCTCAATGATACGGACCGATACTCTCCATCTCCTCCGGGTGCCCCAACAGTCACCCACACGAACTTGCTTCCGCTTCCTCCTGCTGCCCGCTCCTGGGAGCCCTCCCAGAACAATTCCATAGGGCTTGCAGCGCCTGACGTCTTGTCTTGCGTGGGTCGTCCTCCAAGGCGCCCCTGCTTCACCCACCCTTTCATCACCTCCTTAATAAAATTGATCTTCTGTAGAAAGGAATTGGCGTCGAGGATATCTCGAACCCGTTCATCTGCAGAACTTGCACCAGTGCCGTATGCAATGCCGAGGAAGGTTGCAACTTCGTCCGATGTTACTGCCCGAGTGTCGAATCCTGATGGGTGCATCTTGCCCTTGGTGCTGAGATATCTCGCTGCGGAGGGTGAAAGGTGGTAGAAGTCGACCCAGGGAGAGGAGCTTCTTGTGCGTCCAGGAGCGATCACCAGCTTTGTGTGATCAGGGAAATTGAACTATTGAAAGTGTTAGTAGGTACATTCGACATGTAGCAGATGGTTAACATACTTGGAAGGCACCATCCCCAAATCCCCAGACGCCAACATTCCCCAGTCGCTGGTAGAACTTGATGAATTGGCCCGAGCTACCGGAAGCCAACTCGTCCTCGAGAGCTGCCTCATCTCCGTGTCGTCCTAAAGAACCGATCATGTATTTACCAAACTGGTCAACAAGCTTAACTCGTTTGATCTTTTCAGCGTCCGCACGTGCACAGTCAAGACCAGAGTTCGTGCGGATCTTGATACCAGCCGCAGAAGATCCGCTGGAGGAGGCCTTGACTTCGAACAACGACGGTGAGATCAAGGCTCGCCTAATTCCGCCACGGCACTCGGTGAAGTCGCGGGTACAATTTTCGTAGAATTCTACCGGCTTACC